TCATACAGAGTAGGCGTTTCGACAATAAGTAAACTAATAAAAGAAATGACCCACGTCATTTGGGAAAACCCTAAAGACAGATTTCCTTAAGCTGCCTGATACTGAGAGAGAATGGGAGGACATCGCTTCAGGATTCGAAAGAAAAGCCAACTTTCCTCACTGTCTTGGAGCAGTAGATGGCAAACATATCAGAATTTTGAAACCAGCCAAGAGTGGTTCTATGTTCTTTAATTACAAGGAGTATTATTCTTTTGTATTAATGGCAGTTGTCGATTCAGAGTACCGATTTATTTTTATTAGTGTGGGCTCATTTGGCAAGGAATGCGATTCTAGTATATTAAAGGATAGTACATTTTGGCAAAAGATCAATGATGGTACTTTTAAATGTACCAAAGCCTAGACCGCTTCATGAAAACTTGCACGAAGAATTACCGTTTATACTTGTTGGCGATGAAGGCTTTGCTTTAACACCTAATCTCCTACGTCCATATGGAGGTACACATTTGAATACTGATAAAAAGATTTTTAACTATAGACTAAGTCGAGCAAGAAGGTATGTTGAGTGCGCTTTTGGTATTCTGGCAAATAAGTGGCGAATAATCCATCGAGCTATAGATCTCAACGTAGACACAGCAATTCAAGTAATTAAAGCTTGTGCAGTCTTACATAATTTTGTAAGAGAAAAAGATGGTATAAATTTTGAAAGTTACCAAAATATAGAACATAGACAAGAACAAGAAACTACACCCATGAATCGAAATGTGTCGAGTCGAGGTGGCCCTAATGCCAACGCTATACGGACATCATTTACTAATTATTTTGTTTCAGATATTGGTTCCGTTCCGTGGCAGGCAGCAGCTATAAAATAAAATTTATCAATGCATTTACATTTTATCAATAAAACATTAAAAACTCACCGTACTGTTTTCTTTCTTTTCATCCAGTTCATCGAAGTTTGGTTTCAGTATTAAACATACTTCACGCCATGCTGCTAACTTTAAGTTTTTGTCTTTATAAACGTCTTCGGTCTTATCCCACAGAACAGGTCTCTCTTGGACAAGCGTAATTAAAGTTTCTGCTTGAATATCCATGCTAAACGTCTACTTTTACCAGAACATGCGAGCCGAATGACGTGAGTGGAACACGGGCGGGGCGAGGGGAGCACGAGCAGGGCGAGCGGGGGACAGATACCGGCACAAACTCGTTCACATTACTCCGGGCCCGGTCGTTCTACCGGCAATTCGTAGTGACAAAACGTTCGGTAGAAATGCCGGGCTCGGCAAAAATGCCGGACCCGGGATAATGTGAATAGCTTCATATAAATTGTACAGCCACTAGCTCTTCCGGCAGATTTACCGGCGCGGCAGATCTGCCGGTCCGGCGTAGTGGGAACCCGGCCAAAGGGCCTTATGCCGGGTTCCCACTATGCCAGACCGGCAGATCTGCCGGAAACCGGACACCGGACAGAGTGTTCACATTACACCGGACCCCACAAGAAAATCGGACAAGCAACTCAGTTGAATTTGGACCAGTGCCCACAATGGACGACGAAATTGTTGTGTTGTGGTGGTGGTGGTACAGAAGGCAAAATAAAAGAAGAAAGTATTAGGTACATCCTATTTTACGGGAAAGATTTTCACTTGGGACATTTGAAACATTGATCGGTGAACTTAGAAGTGATGGAGCAAAGTTCTTCAATTATTTAATTAAAGATTCTATTTGAATGTCGTTCATCATGCTACACGTCTACTGTACTCAGAAAATGCGAGTCGAATGAAGTGCGGGTAGCACCGTGACGGGCGGGGCAGGGAACACGCGCCGGAACTGGTTCACATTACTCCGGTCCGGTGATTTTATCGGCATTTTGTAGTGACAAAACGCTCGGTAAAAATGGCGGGCTCGGCGAAAAAGCCGGACTCGGGATAATGTGAATAGCTTCATACAATTTGTACAGCCACTAGGCGTTCCGGCAATTTTACCGGACCGGGATATCTGCCGGTCCGGAGCAGTGAGAAAGGGCCTTAGGGCCTTTTTTCGATCGGTTCAGCGAGTGGGGATGTTATGATGATGGGTCTTTATTACTATATATTACGCTCCTATGATAGATAAAAGATTTTTTAAAGTTAAAGAAAGCTGGTTTAGCCCCACCACTATGTGGAACCAGCTGCCCATCGAAGTATTTCCGAACCAATTCGACTTAAGGTCCTCCAGGCAAAGTGCGTACCAATTTTTAAAAGGCTGGCAACGCACTTGCGAGCTCTCGGACAATGTGTGTGGCGGTATCACTTAAACATCAGATTAGCCTCCTTCCCGTTTGCCTCATTGTAAGCAAGTCAAGTAAGTTCTCCATCAAATTATGGAAAATGCTCCCCGATTCTATTCGATTTGCTACCGTTGTAATGTTTCTACATAAGTACTAACTCAACTCATAGAACAACAATAGGTACACATTAATATTTTTTTAGAATGTTGAAAGATGATAAAAATATCTTAAGTAGTTACTTCGAGTTGCGATACTATTAACGAGTTCGTTAATAGTATCGCAAATTAAATGTTAAAGTAATAAAAAACTCGAGACAAGGTATTCAAGTTTGAATGATCAATTAGTTGTTTGAAGCCATCTAAATTTTTTGCAATGTTTTTGTACAGGTCAAGGTATTGTAATACTGGTTTATATGCAATATTATTTAACAAGTAGGATATAAGGCAAGCGTGGATCGTGAAATCGGGTTCGGTAGGCCTAGGTACCTGGACGAAATCCAGGAGGTACTAGAGTAGGACAGGTCAAAAGTACACATAACCGATGATGATGTGTCACGAAAGTGGATGAAGCGAGTATGCGACTGTAGCAAGTGAAGATCCGTGGTCTTCGCCTACTCTTTCAGGAAAAAGGCTTGATAAAATCAATAAATATTAGAGCATCAGTAAATTTTTAATCAATTTTAAATTTTGTTAATTTTGTGTTGAGGCAACATTTTTGTAACGTTTGCAATAAGTTGTATTTCAGAGAATTACACACCTAAACCTTCCCCAAAAGCCGGCTGGAGCGTGTGCCTTTTTTTTATAGAACAGGGTGCAAATGGGCAGGAGACCTAATGGTCCGTTTGCGTTTGCACCTGTTTGTTGACTGATGTTAAGTGATACCACCACTCATGGACATTCTCAATAAAATAAAAATAAAAATATGTTTATTATGGAACAAAAGATAAAGGGTATTACTCATTCCACGTCATTAAATTTGAATCTGTAGGCATCCCTACTCATCGGCAAAGAAGGCAGAGGGTGTAGGCCGAGAGAAAAGCCGGCGTAAAAAACTCGTAAAAAACACCAGAGGGCTCGCGAGTGTGTTGCCGGTTAAGAATTGGTACGCTCTTTTCTTGAAGGACTCTAAGTCGAATTGGTTCGGAAATACTTTAATGAGCAGCTGGTTCTACATAGAAAACCGAAACCGTGCATTAGACCGAAAAAGTTGATGGCGTGGCTGATCACTTATTTAATAAAAAATAAATCATTACGAACGTTTAAAACCTTCCTCAGAAATACTATTTAGTGGCAAAGACATTAGTATTTTATATAAGTGCATAAGTACCTGTAAGGTTTCCGCTATTGTGTAGTAAAGCCCGGACTTTATTTTATAATAAAGAATTTAAATGAATTAATTAAAAGATTTCCATAAATACAGATATTTTTAGCATTTTAACTAATTATCTTCGAAACATAATAAGTCTTTATGTAGGATTCAATTTATTTAATGGAAAAATTATTCCGTCAATTAAGCTTTAAACACAACTTTTTACAGTGTTCTGATTCAGCCCATCATTGTTATACGATGAATTAATAATTCGAAATGATGACTCTGTGAGATGTTAATTTCATGTCGCTTCAATCGTATTAGCTCTGGGCATTATATATAATATACTAGCAGACCGGCCAAGCGTTGCTGTGGCTAAGGTTTTTGTAATATTACATAGTAGTAAACTATTCAATGGATACGGTAGGAGAACACCAGTCATGGGGACCACCATGCTTTTTCGGTGGTTATGCCATTAAATTGTAGCTTATGTGAAACGTTGGTACTTTCAACACAGCGCCATCTGTTAGAATTGTGACTATCAAATAATAAACAAATATTTTGCAATAAAATAATATTGCGAGTATAAATTGAGATGTAAGCTATCCTATCTTTTATGTTATATCAAACTGCACAGTGTGCAGTTAGATTGAAAACGGTTAAGTAGTTTAGGAGTCCATAGCGGACAAACAAGTGACGCGTAATTTATATATATTAAGATATATATTCTACATTGTACGATATGCTGTTGACGTCAGAGTTAATTACACCATGACGAATTATGTTCAATTGTTATACAAATGAGCAAAGATTTTGGTAGGAGCATTGAAAAGCTGATTAGTTCCAGTTATTATGAGATGTGGTGACCGTTTCTCAAGTATTTTGTTGTTTATTCAAAACAATTTACCTACACTATAGAACACTTAATGATAATATATCGAATTTATAACTTAAATCATAGATATCAACACGAATTTAATTAAAAATTACGGAATTATTTTACTAAAACTCTTAATATATTTTGGTTAAATTGTAAAGTTTTAATTAGTCGATAAAAGAGATATTATATCAAGATCTAAGGCTTTATTTATATTTAAAAAATACAATACTTTTCAGTTAGACATTTTTTTAATCAACTTAATATTTTTTCTTATATCAAGTTTGTTACCAAGGCAACTTCTTGTATGCCAGTATATACATACTTCACATAAATTATGGGCACTAAAATTTGGGTAATAAGGGTAAAGATTGTCTAAAGCAAGTTATTTTGGATACCTCCTAACCCTGTCTGACATTTAAAAAGCTGTTCGTACACCTATTAATAACAAAAAGGTTTTGGCGTCTTTTTCCTCTGATTTTTAAAACTTGTTTCTGTCTTTTTTTGATCATGAGTTCACCAACCAATAAAATAATTTTTGTAATTTTTCAGATGTTGATAACTACATTGCTCCTGGCAGCCACCTTAGCTACAGCCGAAGACCTACCTCCATCCTGTAATAAACGTGTTTTCTGCAACAGCAAGCTTCTTCATCATGTCCAAATGAGTCGAATTTTTCCCGATTCCAAAACCTTCGTTGACCGCCATCTACTTAATGATGAAGAGACCACTCTTTCCGCCTTCCAAGAACTTCTCGATCAGACTAATGAAAATCCCACTGAGAAGCAAATAAGGGAATTCGTCGAAAAGTACTTTGATGAAAGTAGCGAACTGGAATTATGGACCCCTCCAGACTTTAACTCGAACCCACAATTTTTGTCCTCCATCCGTGATGGAGAATTGCGTCAATTCGCAAAAGATATTCACGACATTTGGCCAACCCTTGGAAGGAAAGTTAAGCAAAGCGTCATAGAAAACCCAGATCAATACAGTTTTATACCCGTCACCCACGGATTTGTTATTCCCGGTGGACGGTTTACGGAGCTCTACTACTGGGACACTTACTGGATCATTGAAGGACTCCTCGTTAGCGGAATGAAGGAAACTGTTAAAGGAGTCCTCGAGAATCTAATTGAATTAGTAAACAAACTCGGTCATATACCTAACGGTAGTAGATGCTACTATGAGCAAAGAAGTCAGCCCCCGCTTTTGACATCAATGGTCTCCCTGTATGTTCAAGCTACTAACGATATTGAGTTTCTGAGAAAGAATATCAATTCTTTAGAAGCCGAACTTAACTACTGGCTTGACACCCAAGTCTACACATTTGATATTGGTGATAAAGCGTACACGTTACTTCGATACTATGCTGCAAGCGAAGGACCGCGACCAGAGTCATACCAAGAGGACTACACAAGCGCGCAAATTTTCGACAACGACAAACGAAAAACTCAGTTCTATATTGATATAAAGAGCGCAGCAGAGAGTGGATGGGACTTCTCGACCCGTTGGTTCATCAAAAATGGAACTGACAAAGGCAACTTGACAGATATCCACGCAACAGATCTTATTCCTGTGGATCTAAATTCTATATTTGCAAAAGCGCTTCAAAATATGGCATATTTCCAAGCCTTGATACACAACTACAGTAAATCGTGGTATTGGTCGGGTCTCGCCAGACAATGGACTAACAATATTGAAAAAGTATTATGGGACGAAGAGGACGGCTGCTGGCATGATTGGGACTTGGTTAATAAGAAATTCCGGAAGTATTTCTACCCTATCAACATCGCTCCTTTGTGGATGGGTATTACTAACAAGAAGTTTGTTGTAAAGAATGCACCACGTATCTTAAAGTACTTGAAAGAATCACACGGCCTGGATTATCCTGGCGGTATTCCCACATCATTGGTGAAGAGTGGGGAACAATGGGACTTCCCCAACGCTTGGCCACCACTTATAAGTCTGGCCGTGAATGCTATTGAAGCATTGGAGTTGCCAGAGGCGAAAGACTTGGCGTTTCGCGTGGCTCAATCTTGGGTACGGTCATGCTACAAAGGATTTTCAGACAACAAGCAGATGTTTGAGAAGTATGACGTGGAAGTTCCGGGAAGAATTGGCGGAGGCGGGGAATATACAGTACAAACTGGCTTCGGTTGGTCCAACGGTGTAATTTTGGAATTTTTGGCGAAATATGGACAAAGAATGTCTTTGTATGACATGAGAAAAGAGTCGAGTGATCTATTAGCGCCTCGTGCCGTTGGCGTATTAGATGCTTCGAGTGAGGACTCTTCTAAGTCAGATAGTTCAGATATTGAGAAAGTAATTATGGTGGCATTTAAACAATTGTAAATAAACCTAGCTTTTTACGAGTATATTTAGTTTTACGAGAAATCAATAGGCGGAGTTACCGTTTTAGTATTTTTGTTTCTTTGACATAGCAATACCGGATTAGGTAAAAATAGATGAACAAATAATAATTGTTATAATAGATTCGTATAAAAAGTAACTGCAATTTTGACTTGAATATTAATTTATGTAGTTGTTTATAAATATATATATATTTTTTTAAATACTTTACAATCTTGTGCCATTAAATATGTTTTAATTTATTTAAAAATGTTGACGTAATAAAAATAACACTAATTATATGACATAACATTTATAATATTTTTAAGTTAAAATGTAATAAATAACCATTTTTAGTATATGTGAAGATTTTAAACAGATGACGAAGGATAATAAATATGCTTTTTTATTTAGACCATATAAAAGAACAAAGAAAATATATTAGTATTTTATAGATACCTCTGCAAACTTATTAAACGTATGACGACGAATAACTAAGCCTTATGTTAAAAAAAACCCGGCGCTTCTGATGAAAGTGTAATTCGTGAACACAAAAGATGCGAAATTTTTCTCCTTATGTTGGTTAAAATCGTTTAAAATAGATTTTTTAAGCAATTTTCTTCCATATAATATATTTGTAAGTTAAATTGTCTTTCCTTAGATCTAATTTTCCTATTTTAACGGCCCGTGATTAAAATAAATTTCTTCATTATTTTGGTTCAGTATTAGTAACTATTTTCGCGCTATTTTGGTTGATTTCTGGTTAGAGCGGTGTGACCCAACATTTTTAGAGCCACCTTAGCCCCAAACACAATTTTTATTATTAAAAAGTTTAATTGTTTACTTAAAATTTAAATAAAAGGTTTTAGGAAGAAATCACTAGGAAATTGTTAACGAAACACAGTAAGTAAATTTTCAAAACATAACAAAAACCTGAAATTTAAAATCCAAATAATTTCAATAAATTTTCGAATAACCCTTGATAATCAAATTGCCCCCTTGTGGGGCGTGGGCCCCACGTTGGGAAACACTGGCTTAGAGGATAATCAATTTTTATAAGTGAAGAATATTTTTGAACGTTTCCTATAAATCTAACTAAAATTTATTAATCGGGCGTAAAGAATACCGACCGTTAATAGTAGAACTTTGTGGCTTAATGTTAAGGAAATTTAAGAATAAAGGCTGTGTCTTTATTATGTGTTTTATTTTGTTCAAAATTAATTCTTTATTGATATTTTATTCAAACTCAGATCAGTATTGGCTTAGTGGCTTCAGCGTGCGACTCTCATCCCTGAGGTCGTAGGTTCGATCCCGGATGTGCACCAATGGACTTTCTTTCTATGTGCGCATTTAACATGCGCTCGAACAGTGAAGGAAAACATCGTGAGGAAACCGACATGTCTTAGGCCCAAAAAAGTCGACGGCGTGTAACAGGCACTGGAGGCTGATCACCTACTTGCCTTTTTTTTTTTTTAATAGAACGGGGGGCAAACGGGCAGGAGGCTCACCTGATGTTAAGTGATACCGCCGCCCATGGACACTCTCAATGCCAGAGGGCTCGCGAGTGCGTTGCCGGCCTTTTAAGAATTGGTACGCTCTTTTCTGTCGAGGTGATACGGGTGGAATTTCGTATTCTGCCTCGACGTCCGATGATGAAACTCAGCTGCAGGTATTAATCCGAACAACTCCTCTGAACACTCTCCATGGTAAATGCGGTAGAAGATGCAGAGTGACCCCACATCTCTACGCAACGCCAAAGGATCAAGCCGCTCGGAGAGGGATTGGTCGTCGACGATTCGAACCGCTCTGCGTTGTATACGGTCAAGTGGAAGGAGCTGGTACTGGGGAGCCCCCGCCCAGAGGTGAGAGCAGTACTCCATGTGGGGCCGAATTTGCGCTTTATATAGTTGCATGCGGTGGCCCGGAGTGAAGTACCGTCTCGCCTTGCTGAGCACACCAAGCTTTTTGAAGGCTAATTTAGCCTTTCCCTCCAAGTGACCGCGAAACTGAACGTCGCTCGATATGTCAACGCCAAGTATTCCAATGCTGACTGTGGCTTTAAGAAGAGTGTTTTCGAAAAGAGGAGTAGTGACAAAGGGTGTTTTTTTAGCGGAAAACGCGCAAACTTGTGTCTTCTTGGGGTTAAATTGGACTAGGTTTTGTCTGCCCCAATCTGAGACTCCACGTAGTAGAGTTTCGACTTCAGACACAAGTTTGTTCCGGTACACATCAACAACTGTCCGAGAAATACCTACCCGGCCAGTGTAAAAAGTATCCCCAGTGCTGTTATCCGCATAGCAATGAATGTTGCTAAGTTTCAACATATCATTTATATGCAGAAGAAATAGGGTCGGGGATAGAACACAGCCTTGTGGGACCCCAGCGTTTACGGGTTTTAGGTCGGAACATGCTCCGTCGATGACGACCTTGATGCTCCGATCGGCTAGAAAGCTGGAGATCCAATCGCGTAATTTCTCGGGAAGCCCATAGATCGAAGGCTTTCGCTATGTCCAAACTAACCGCTAGCGCCTCCCCCCTTGGACTCAATTGCCTCTGCCCATCTATGTGTAAGGTATACAAGAAGGTCACCAGCCGAACGACCACGACGAAAGCCGTACTGATAATCGCTAATCAGCTGGTGGCCCCTATAGATACTTCGTTAATTGCCAAGAGCTGGCAATTAACAATGGATTCCATTATTTTGGAGAACAAGGAGGTTATAGCTATTGGGCGATAGTTGGACGGATCAGAGCGATCGCCTTTTTTAGGGATCGGATGTAACAAAGCGGTCTTCCAGCACTTCGGGACAGTGCCGAGCGAGTACGGGTACCGGAAAAGGCGCTTTAAGACCGGAGCCAACTCAGGAGCACAAGTACGCAGCACAATTGGGGGATACCATCCGGCCTGCTCGACTTATGAATGTCCAAGGAAGATAGTGCTTTGCGGACAGCACGTTGCCGGAATGTGATTTCCGGCATCGAAGAATCACACCGCGAAATGGTCGGTGGTGATCTTCCTTGGTCATCCAAAGTCGAGTTGGACGCGAAGAGACAGCCCAAAAGGTCAGCCTTCTCCTTCACAGTGTGGGCCAGAGAGTCATCCTCCCTGTGCAGTGGCGGAATGGCGGGCTGACAAAAATTCCCTTGGACAGCTTTGGCGAGAGACCAGAAGGCTCGAGTCCCTGAAGGGAGTTGGGCCAATCTTTCGCCAAATCTGGCAATGTGCTCTGACTTTGCCTTAGTGATTTCCCGTTTGAAGGACCTGGAGGCTGAGTTATATGCTTTTTTAAGTTCGCTGGTATTGGCATCACGAGATTTCGCCGCTTCCGCCCATGCCTTAAAGCATTCTCGCTTTCGAAGCGAGGCCGCCTTGCAAGAACGTTTAAACCAGGGCTGAGACTTGCCACCGATCGGCACCGCAGAAAATGGAATAAAGAGTTCCATGCCCTGCAGAACCACTTCGGCGACAGAGGCGGCGACGGAATCTGGAGCTTCCGGCGAAAAGCACATAGGCCCCCAAGGGTAGGGCGCAAAGAAAGACCGCATCCCGTCCCAATCTGCTGACTTATAGTGCCAAATACGGCGACAATCCATAAAGCGGGGCCGTGAAGGGCGCGTAGAAGGCACAGTCTCCGGACCACACAATGATCCGATGAACCCAATGGCGGGTCAACAGAGACTTGGTAGTTCTCGGGATGTGAAGTCAGCAGAAGGTCCAACAAAGAGGGTTTATGACCATCCACATCTGGTATTCGCGTAATCGCAGGGACCATTTGTGTCAGGTCGTAGGCTAAAGCAAAGTCGTGAAAGGATCTTCCCGCGTGATCGGTGGTTTCAGAGCCGAGCCAATCGGCATGGTGGGCGTTAAAATCGCCAAGTATCACGATTTCAGCGGTAGGAACCCTTTCGAGCAGGGAATCTGTAGCCATTTGGATGTGCTCAATGAGTCGGTCAGTTTCGGTATTTCCGCTATGGGACCTATACAGGCATGCGTAGAATCGCGGATGGTCATCGCAGTCTACGCGCAGCCAGAGGTTAGATAGGTCCCTTCCTTCAAGCGTCCCGAGGCGACGAGAACAGATATCCTCTCTGACGTACACGCAAACTCCAGCCCGCGGCACAAATGAATGTTCCAATTTGTACCCCGGGTAGGATAGGTGGGAAGTATCAGCCGGGGAGGATATCTGAGTCTCGGTAAGAAAGAGCAAGGCCGGCTTCGCAGTCTCTAGATGATAGTGGACAGCGTTGATGTTAGAATTAAGCCCCCTAACATTAGTGAAGTCCACGGCGAGTGTGGACGGGGGTGCCTTTGTATAATTGCTCCGTTTGCCCCGAGGACGATTACTATTTTTGTAGAGCGCAGAATTGCCCCCCCCCCAGAATACGAAGGGCAGCCTGTGCGTCCACCACCGGGTGCTGAGTGTCCCGGTGGTGGACGCCCAGAGGGGGATCCTCCACCGCGAACGCGTGTGGTACCCCCCTGGGGTAGATTCTGTTTTTTCTGCTCCTTCATATTTCTTGTGGGATGGGCTCCAGGAATCTCTCTCACCGCAGGAAACGCGAGTACAAGAAGGCGAACCTTTTGCATCACTTCACGCCGGTTTTCTGAGAGACAGTGGTACTGCCCCGGTCGTGCCTGCCCATTTGGCTGAAGCCCGAAGGCAACAGCATGGCACTCCCACTAGGAAAATGCGTGCTAGCACTAGGTGTGCGCGAGAGAAGTAGGGAAGGGGATGACGGGTCTGGGCGTTACTGCACAAGATTTTTTGCATTTTCTGATAAGATTTACTATAGTAATATATATATATATATATATTTATATTTTTTTTTACCATAGGAAACTAGAGATTTAAACGAACTGAAAACACACCAACTTTTTGAAAAAAGCTGATATTTTGACGGGTGAATTTTCGATTGAAAATTAGGGTGCTTTTTCGATATTAATTCAAAATAAGGTGAAAAAATTACTATTTCAAATCAAATAAATTACAGCGTATTAAAGACATAAAAAGGTAAGTTTTCACCAAATTTCGTGGGAAAAAAATAAATTTTGTAAAAGATAAAAATTAAAAACCAAAAACTTAGTTTTTTTAATTTTTCACATAAATTTTGAGGTTATGTGAAAAATGTGTAAATACAAAAGTTTTAGATCTTTATATTACCTACAACTTTGCCATTAGACTTTTTTCCATAGGACTTTTAGTTTTGCCGGAAATCGAGATAAACCGTTTTTTACCCTTAAAACTCCCCCCAATCCCCCTAACCCCTCCCCGACCTCAGATCGCCCGTAAATTATTTTTCCTTTAATTTTTATAATATTCTCCTCTTTTTCCAATGGGTTTCATCCTACTATTATTTTTTTAGGTTTCAAAAATTATCGACCCTGGACTATCTGTGCAGAGACAATTTATAAAAAATACAGTTACTGGCAATTCTTAAATCATGAGCGTAGACAAGATAAAATAACAAGAAAATCTCCGCCACTATTTGTAACGATCTAGTATACTCAAATCAATAACACATGAAGTTATCAATTGTTACTAATTTAAAAAAAAAAGCCTATATTCAAGTACTATAATAAGGATTATATTAAGTTTAAGTTATTATATTTAATATTAGTACACGACCTCCGACGGCCTTCACGCCTTCCTACTATTTTCCAATCTTTCTCAGCTATCTCTTTTATTTCCTCTGCCAACGTTTCTAGTCTAGCCTCTTTATTCCGACTGTGCCATTCCAGGTAAGGGCCTTTTTTACCCAACTGTCATAACAAGCGCGGGCAATGAGACCGGCCCATTTCCACTAAAATTTGTGCGAGTAACTTATTTTTGTAAGGTTTCGTATTACACTGTTTCTTACTTTTTTTTTCAGCTGAAGAATAGCACACTCCATAGTCCTTTGACATATTTCAATGTTCTTTAATAACGCCTTATCAAAAATACGTTTGTAATCTATATTATAAAGTGGAAATACTTGTGTTTGTAAGTTTGTAACGTATAAACACAAAAGCTTCTGGGTTGATTTCAAAAATTCCTACTACCTAGCTAACTTTATTTCTAAGGAAAGTAGGATTTTCTATGGTATTAAAAAATCTCCAACAGTAAGACTGAAACAGATTGCTAGTGGTAATATGACCAGACTGACTTTCTTCTGAGTGTTAAATGTATGACTAAACATTGTCGCTTAACTAAATAGAAAAACAACATTTTCTTTTCTTAAGTAGACGCCTAAACAAATGATTTGTGGTATTTTCGTAATTCGTTTCTAATGTGATTTTTGAACGATCTTTATCTAAATAATGAAAAATTGAAATGCCGGCAACGCACTCAAATGGATGGACACCCATTTGAGTGCGGGCTGCGATGACTGCCCTTTTTGGGCGTCCCGTAGGCTCTATTGTCTTTTTTTTATGTAATAGGCAAACGTGCAGGAGGCTCACCTGATGTTAAGTGATACCGCCGCCCATGGACACTCTCATTGCTAGAAGGCTCGCAAGTGCGTTGCCGGCCTTTCAAGAATTGGTACGCTCTTTTCATGAGGGACCCTAAGTCGAATTGGTTGTCAAGTCAAAAGTCAAAAATCATTGATTCATGTAGGTAACAAAATGTACACTTATGAACGTCAAAAAAAGAAATATACATTAAATGCTTCTAATGTCTCCATCTGTCTGTCCCCCTAAGCTATAAAAAAATGCAACGTAAATATATTTATAGCTAGAGTTTTTTACGCCGGCTTTTTCTCTCGGCCTACACCCTCTGTCTTCCATGCCGATGAGTAGGGATGTCTAGTACCTATCTTATAATGCATAATAAACATATTTTATTTTATTTTGGGTATAACAAGGACTACAAAGTTATGTGATGGCCATGGACGCTCACATCGTCAGTAGGCCTGCGAGTACGTTGCCGTCCTTTAATAAATTGGTATGCTCTTTTGAACATGAGCTGGTTCCACGTATGTGTACGTTAGGTAGGAATTATAAAACGAATACAATATTATTATATTATAATAAAAAGCCGACACAAAAAATATCTCTTAGACTTTTGGTAGAATTACTAATAAGCATATCATTGTATTTCTTGTTTATTGTTCCGGAATGCTATTATTAAAGTGTATGTGGTTTTGCATTCCGGCTTTGCATCTATGCATTTTTCTTTCTATGTGCATAATAAAGTCTTGCTGGGTGCAGGAAAACCTTAGTAGAACATCGTAAATAGACCAAAGAGGTGGTTTAAACCAAAAAGCGTGATTTCCGTATTTCAATATCATGGAAACAAATATATTTGTGGAGAACAATTTATAATCTATACTAATATTATAAAGAGGAAAAATTTGTATGTAAGTGTGTTTGTAACAAATTGGCTGAAAAAGTTCTGGACCGATTTAAAAAATTCTTTCATTATTTTATTATATGGGTTACTATTTTAATGGCAAGAAAAAAATATGGATCCCTACTAACACTAAAATAATGTATAAAATATCTTTCGTCGCATGCGCTGCGAAAACTATTGATGATAGAACAAAAAAATGTTTCACAATATTAAAAAACATATCAATATCTACAAAAATTGTTTAAAAAACAAATGTCCACCCGTGCGAAGCCGGGACGGGCCGCTAGTATGTAATAATATTTTACAATCTTAGCGTATTGCGTCTATTCTCTGCATGTTATCAACGGCATAACTATGCCAAGGTCAAGTATTTATGAAATTGATTTGAAGGAAATTAATAAAATCATTTTATTTTAAACGATTTTGTTTGAGACCTTATTATATTTTTATATATACTGCACTGTAAAGTATCTGATTCAATGGAAAGGACATCAGCTGATTTACAATGACGTATTGACGCATGCGTTCAACGTAATTGTTTATTCACGAGTTTATTGGCTTGTTTACTTCTCGTTCATGACAAGTTCATAATGTCATTGCTTATTGTGTCAGTGTATCAGAGACACGCAGTGGAGGCACGCGTTTTATCGTGACGCAAGTTTTCTCACAGTGATCTACTTTTCGTTGCCTTGCCTCGGTCGTTGGCAGTGAAAGTTAAATCAGCTGAGATGGGACGTCGCCCCGGAACGCATTGAGGGACACACGATGGCATTACAGAAGCTAGCGTCAGTCGCGGGCCGGACTTATACACACACGGTCCGCTGCACTGGCTCATACTGGACGCTCGCGCTCAGGGTATGTTTATCAGCGATTTCCGTACTCGCCTTGAATAAGCCAGACTGATAATGTTACAGAATCTGCGTCGCTATGCGCCGCTTTACCCGGTTCTAGGAATTTTGGGGGCGTGTGCTCAGGCGTTGACAGTTGTTCCTTCCTGCAATTCCTCAATTTATTGCACTGGTGAACTTCTACACAGAGTGCAACTTGCAAGGATATTTCCCGATTCGAAAACTTTCGTCGATCTTAAGCTCGTTCACACTGAGAATGAAACGCTTGCAGATTTTGCAAAGTTAATGCAAAAAAGTGCCAACAATCCATCGCGGGATCAATTAGCCGGTTTCTTGGAACAGCATTTCTTAGATGGAAATGAACTGGAACAGTGGCGGCCACCTGACTTCGACCCGGATCCACCTGTATTAAAACAGATTACTGATCCGAAGCTTCGGGAATTCGCAAAGAATGTTATAGGATTTTGGGACAAGCTAGGTCGAAAAGTGAACCCTGATGTCAACACGCATTCTAGTCAATATAGCTTCCTTTATGTTCCTAATGGGTTTATTGTTCCCGGTGGTCGTTTTAAAGAGCTTTATTATTGGGATTCATTCTGGATTATACGCGGACTCCTCATCTGCAATATGACACAGACTGCTAAGGGTATGATAGAAAATTTATTGTATTTAGTAGAAAAGTTTGGATATATACCAAATGGAAGTCGAGTTTATTATTTAGGAAGAAGTCAGCCTCCGATGTTAGCTGCAATGGTAGCTATTTATTACGCGTACACCGATGATTTTGCTTGGTTAGAAAAACACCTGCCAACTGTCGAAAAAGAACTTCAGTATTGGTTAGATAAAAAGAAAGTGACAGTAGAAGTAAAAGGCAAGCATTACGTACTGCTCCGCTATTTTGCCGATCGATCTGGTAAAGGACCACGCCCAGAATCATATTTTGAAGATTACACCACTGCCCAAACTCTAGAAGATGCTATTAAAAAAGAAGAATTTTATGCCGAAATGAAAAGTGCTGCCGAAAGTGGGTGGGACTTCTCAACACGGTGGTTTGTGACTGCCGGTCAAGATGTCATCGGCAAACTAACTGATGTGCACGCTTCTCGAATTCTCCCGGTAGATTTAAACGCTATTTTTGCAGGAGCACTCGAACTAGTGGGTGACTTCCGGAATAAACTAAAGGATAGAAGAGAAGCTAAGAAATGGTGGAGCCTAGCTAAATACTGGAGAAATGCGATAGAGAATGTTATGTGGGATGATGCAGACGGTGTCTGGTATGATTATGACGCCCAGGCAAAGGCACCCAGGCGACACTTTTATCCAAGTTGCACTGCTCCACTTTGGGCCGGTGCTGTAGAGGAATACGATGCACCACGGTACGCTGGGCGATTAGTAAGGTACTTGCTTGCGTCGGGGGCTTTGGATTTCCCCGGCGGAGTACCAGCATCGATCCTACACTCGGGAGAGCAGTGGGATTATCCAAATGCATGGCCTCCTTTACAGAGCATTTTGATAGGTGGTCTCGAAGCCAGCGGCAACGAGGAAGCGCAGAAACTGGCCCATGAACAGGCAGTTATATGGATGCGTTCTAACTACTTAGGCTACAGTACATGGAAAAAAATGTTTGAGAAGTATAGTGCTGTGCAACCTGGACACCAAGGTGGAGGGGGCGAGTATGAAGTCCAGGATGGCTTTGGATGGACAAATGGAGTTGTTCTAGAGTTACTTCAGAGATACGGCAGAGATATTACCTTGCACGATCGGCGAGGTACTACATTACCTTATGTACGCCAAGTATTATAAGTACATAGTTTTATATGGCCAGTATTTGTATTTGCCAGTAATTATAAATTGTTAATATTGTATAAGTTGAGGTCGATTCCAATATTATTAATAAGATCAATGTGATATTTACTGTAACGTTGCATGTAGATATCTAAAATGTGTTTTAAAATAATATATAATGTTTTAATAAAACTTGTTTGATTCCTACAGAAATTGATTATAAAATTAGTTCATTTCCGCAAGTATAAAAAAATTGGTGACACAAGCTAGAGATAGCTTATCGGGGTTCGAACATTGGTTAATAACTTAGAAAAGTGACTTATACTCAAAGCCTTTATTTCTACCTAATTACACACCTATTACACTATAGGAAATGAATGGAAGACAGGGGGAATGGAGGAAGATGCAACATCAACTCGGCATTCCGTTATAAAGAACGCGACTAAAGAAGACGTATTACGCTAAAACCTTATCATCAGTAGAACTCTCTGCGGCGTTTGGCTTCCCTAAACCATCTTACTTCATCCTATCTCTTGCCAACCTCCACCCACACTGTACGGATGTATCCACTTCCTCTTTGGTCTATCTATATTGCGTAGGTGGTCTATACGATACGCTACGATACGATGATGCTCGTCCTTTGTATTTTAACTTAAAAATACACGACGTAAATCAGCCAAAATCTCCTTATCGTGCCAAAAAAATTACAATTGTCTCACAATGAGATCACGATGCCCCTTTAGTCATATTCGAAAATATACAGCAGTTTTGGTCTAAGGGGCACTCGAACCTAGGTCGTGCGTTTGGATTTGCACGAATTTCTCTCTAAATGCGCAATTAACGCTTGAAGTTGAGGGCAAACTTACTTAAACAAATTAATATTAGATTACTTATAAATAAATAAATAAATTATTCATATGAAAATAATAGAATCGGTTTGTTTTTCATATTACTGAATTTTGTCGAGTAAATTCAGTAATATGAGAACGCTTTAGTATAGTAGGTACTATCTCTTTACTAGACATAATTAATATATAATTGCATATAAATTTGTGTTTGCTTTGAGCCGACTGGCAAAGTCGCTTCAAACCACGCAGCAATTATTATTGCTTATCACGGCTATGTTACCTCAGTTCTGCGCTATGGTATCGTTTTATAGGGAATTTCGGTAGATTTAAATAAAGTTTTTATTACGCAGAAATATGTTTTAGGGCTATTATGAGCGTTGGACCTCTTGTAAGCTGTTTGTCAGTACCAAGTTTATATATCCTAGCAGTTATGACTGTAAAAAAACATCCAAAATTGTTCTAAACCTTTTAAGAATCTTGCTTGTATACCGAGGGATCCAACACGGCTGTGGGAGCCTGCATGTTGTACCACGATGTATTCGCCATGGCTATCAAACTATTTCATCACTTTCCAAGTATAATTCTTTCAATGGGATGGTGATTAAATTGTTAAATGTGAGGAGCCTTTATAGCGTGGGCGAATATTTAGACCATTAAGTATAATACTTAAGTACTTAATAAATTACTCAACTGATTATATGACATTATGAAAATTAATATGACATTTGCTTTTATATGGCTGATTGTGCGAATTTTTATAATTAATTGATCTAAATCTACCACTTTCTTTCATAAACGATTTCTTATAATTTATTGATTTAATAAACATGCTTTGATTCTTGATACATTTAATATTAAATAAAAGTATTTTAATGAGACTTTCAGAAAATAACATCCTCTAATAATTTACAAAGATGTCCGCAACTGTCCACTATTTTATACTTCTATTTATACATAATAATAATTATTTTATTTGCTCAAAGAGTGCATTTAATAATAATAAAATATTACATCACCGATATGTTTCATTACATTTCACCTTACGAACGAAATCGCAGAGCTAAGAAATGCATTATGCAACTCAGAATTTACGATAGAATAGCTATTTATTAATTGCTAATTAATTGATACTCGATATCAATTAAGGCAATTGACCCTCTATTGTTTTTATTCACTTGCATATCAAAACCTTGTTGTTAGTATCACTTTGCAAATGATTGCAAAGGTATAAGCTAAGTTTCACAGTTTTATTTTTTATAAAAAACAAATTTTAAATGTTTGGTCCTTGTGGCGATGTATCTTTTAAGGTTGGCAGCATTTCCTCGGTGTTTTGCGATACTTATTCGTTGAGTGAGGAAACCACCAGCCTTGCGATTCTGTAACTCACTTTTCGAACTCTCACGGCGGTCGCGCTCAAATCAGTCGTGAAGCAGTCATTTTACGATTTGGCATTCTGATAAACAATAAACTATAAGCTCCCTCCGCTTGTCAAGACGTAATGTGAAATTGCTTAACAGAATATCATGAGATTCCAAAAATTACGTGACTGAGTGACGAAGGGAGCCTTGTTAGTGCGAGGTGAACTCACGGATTAACAGAATCGCACGGCAGCTCTGTGGTCACCGGTACTATAGAAAATTATTAGTTTTAAGGACATATTTATATTGTTAGACCAGTCAGTCAAGACAATTAATTCATAATAATTCCAAAAGTTTTCAAATTTTGATGTAAGGTCGGGAGTGGTATTAAAACAAACTATAAAATTTTGCAACCTGCTCTGCGGTCCGGAACATTGTTAAAAATAAGTTTTGGTCGTGAAAAAAATTCCAAAAGTTCTGCAAACTTGGGGAAGTTTTCGATATAATATTTCATATCACGTATAAAATTTGCAACCAACCTAAGTGTACGGAACATTTTTTGTTATTAAAAATTAATGTTTTTCTTTATTAAACTGAAGGAAAACGTTCCAAAAGTTCTGCAAATTTGACAGATATATCGAAAATAAAATAAATAACAAAAAATGTTCCGTACACTTAGGTTGGTTGCAAATTTTATACGTGATATGAAATATTATATCGAAAACTTCCCCAAGTTTGCAGAACTTTTGGAATTTTTTTCACGACCATACAGCAAAAATTAATTTAATTGCAATTTTAACAATGTTCCGGACTGCGGACAAGGTTGCAAATAGAGATTTATTGTCGTCCCAATGTACCATTCACTTGACCGAAGTTTGAAAACTTTTGGAATTATTATCAAATTTTCGATTTCGAATGTCTATAATGACTGGCCTATGTGTCTTGTTTTGCTTTGTATTGTATTTTTTATTAGTGAAACTTTTTTTGTAGATATGTCCAATGTGTCTATTTATTTTATGTTTTACATTTATTTTATTTTTTATGTATAGTGATGTATCTGTTTAGTTTCCTTAATAAATAAATAAATAAATGAAGTAAATTGAACGTTCTAGTTTCCCTGCGCGCAGGAAATAGCTTATCTATAAAATTAAAAATTAATCGCAAATAATGTTACTAGGCTCGAAGACGGCTGGTCCAAATTCTTTTAGATTTTTTTTATGTAAAACGAGGCAATCGGGCAGGAGGCTCACCTGATGTTAAGTGATACCGCCGCCCATGGACACTCACATTGCCATTAGGCTCGCAAGTGCGTTGCCGGCCTTTTAAGAATTGGTACGCTCTTTTATTAAAGGACCTAAGTCGGCTCTCATATAGAGATTTGTGTCATATGTCAGTTGTACACATAATTTTTGAATTCAAAAGTTGCTGGGCTGTAATGTTTAAAATAAATGGGTTTATATAAAAACATTATATACAACATTCCTACCTAATGAGTTTTTGTTCCACACGATCTCAAGGTCAGGTTAGGGTCAGTTCTACGGATATTGTGTGAACTACATCGAACTTACGTACAAAAACGTTGGAAACCACTATTGGAGGTTACAAAGTACGGGCTCTGATCTTTTTGGTTAAAAATTAATTACAAACAAACGGATGCGATAACTCAAACTCAAAAGAACTTTATTCATATAGGTAAAATGTTAAATTGATTCTAAGTTCGCAAGTCAACGGCGTAGAGCAGGCAAGAAGATATGGCAAGAAACTCGAAAAAAGCGTGGGGCGCTCTGTGCCATAATTTTCGTCTATCGAGCAACCCACGCTTTTTCACAATAATACCAGTATTTTTTGTTCATTACCATTTTCAGCCTAAATTAGGAATTATTTTTCACTTTTTAGTTTGATGTGCTTTAAAAGCGTGTTTTTTAGTTTTTTTAAACTATTATTTATTTTATATTAGATTGCACTTTATTGTAGTTATAGTTAGTGTTACCTACATGTTATTTTTGTTAATTATTTATGCACTTCTTGTTCTTCACCTTCTGTAGGTGTTTATTTTTTATTGTTGCATACTAGGGTTGCCTGGAAGAAATGCTTCTTAGCGATAAGGCCGCCCGTTACCTAATATCTTATATAACATGCTTTTTTATATGTATGTTTTTGCATAGGTAACGAAGTGTAAATAAATAAATAAAATAAACAAATTTAAAAAGTTTGGTCCCTCTGCAGTGTAGGTACCTTTAACGCCTATAAAATAATAATAAATCTACTTGTAAGTCCGTCCATGGATGTTCCTGTGTTCCTTTGAAGGATAAAAGTTTAGGTTGGTTTGCTGTTTAAAAATGTTCGAAAACCCAGACAAAAATACGTTCCCATTAATTACGATTTCTATCAAATTTTTACCTATTGTTAAGGTCAAATAGGGTACGATTTGTTCGTGTAGAGAAAGTTAAACGTTGAACTTCGAAAGGGCAGTTATTTGGCCTTTTGCAACAACTTTTGTATGCAAATGTTTGGATTTTAGAGAAATCGTTTGATGGATGGGTCAAAAGTTGTATAATATGGAATTTTTTATGCAAATTTTAAACTGGGTCTTCAACAACACTGCCGTAGAAACCAATATAAAATAGGTACACCGTGGCTTTCTGCATCTGGCGTCAAAGCTAGGAATTGAATGATCGGCATGTATTTAATATTTATTTTTAAAAGGCCCTCTAACGAAACACATACAGACACAGAGAACACACGACATACAAAGTAAATTGATCTCGCACCGATTCCAAGTCTTCGTCAACCGCTTTGTTCGCCGTATTCTGGAGCAACTTTGGGATCGCTGCCGAGAAACCGCGATTAGCCAGCAGATCAAGCGACGCAAGTGGAAATGTATATACGAGTTGCAGATGAGGCAAAGAGAGCCGGAAGGACTTGGAGGTGAAATACGAGACTTAAGACCGAATGCGACGGTGATTTAGAAATCTAAATTATAATCAAAATGCAATTTAAAAATGTAATATATTTATTTTTTGCAATTGTTATTGGTGACGGAACAATGGCTGCAGTATCTTACGCCTGACGCCATGGAGACTGTCATAAAATGGATCAGCTTCGCGTGTCCTCAAAGCGTAGTTTACTGCAGATCTGTTTAGAGGAGCATCACAATTTACAACCGACTTTGGTCTCACTGCCCGAACGTAAAAATAATAATTTATATATTCATACAAAATGGTACAAGTGACAGAAGAAAATTACTCCATAGATTATATACATGTATGATTTAAAAATATGTATTTAGTCCATTTTAGCATGTTTTTTTTAGAACAAGCAAGGGGCCGGAGGTTCACCTGATGTTGAGTGATGGCTCGGGAGTGCGTTACCGGCCTATTAAGAATTGGTACGCTCTTTTCTAGAAGGGCCCTAAGTCGAATTGGTAATGTAGGCAAATGAAAACCTATTTATGGATAAAAAGTACGTCATCTTAATTAGATTCAATTATTATTTCTCAGAACTGCAGGTAAGTACTAAATAAAACAATATAAATTATAAATGTCGATTTAATTAATTTAAGGGCGATGACTTGGTATTATTATTATAATAATTAAAATAGAATTGTATATTTAATGCTAAAATAAACAGTTTGTCGTTCACGCTTAATTTTAGTTTCAAAGTTCAAAGGAACACTTAATATTATATACATATTAAATTATTGAAAACACGTTGTATGGTTATAATCGAATAATTAATTACAGTCACTCAAATACCGTATGCAAAATGTTTGCGTTTTTACAACTCGTTTCTTATTTTTAGAAAACTCAGTTTATCATTTATTATAACAGACAATTAAAGTAAATTGTCTTTGATTAGACCTATCTACAGATTATAGCTAGATACAGATGCAGATCGACAGAAACAGATCTGTCATCGGCTTGACAGATGTGTCCGCGCTAAAATTTGTCTCTGACTGGAAGACAATTCTATGCGATATAAAAAGAAACGTTGGTGCAGACTAATTTACGCAAAAAATACCAAAATTATGTTTATATAATTGAATTGAGAGCAGTGTTGGCTTGGTGGCCTCCCTGAGGTCGTAGGTTCGATCGCCGGCACCAATGGACTTTCGGTCTATGTGCGCATTTAGTCGCTCGAACGGTGAAGGAAAACATCGTGAGGAAATAGGCATGCCTTAGATCTAAAAGTCGACGGCGTGTATCGGGCCCAGGAAGGTCACCATAGATTTATAAATGATCATGAAAACAGAAATCTGAGGCCCAGACACACAAATGGACTTTTTTTAAATTATTTTATTTTTAACTTACAGTAAACCGCAAGGGCCATACACGATATGCTTTACACAACTGTTAGAGTGGTTAAAAACAACATATTTTGTAAACCTAATATTAAAATCCATCATTTTTACATCAAACGCAGTGAAACATCACAGAACACGAGACTAGATAAACTGAATCGAATTCGATCCGACAAAAATGATATCTTAAAGTAATTTAAGGTTAAAATGGTGTAAATTTTATTCAACTGAACCGTCAACGTTTTCATAATCACAATCGCTGGCCGGAGTAACGTATGGAAGCTCCATTTGAGTGCCGAATTCAGCTTCATATAGTACCTGTCGGTGAAAAATAAACAGTTTTATACAATATAGGTCATAATTGGTGTTTTTGTTGCTTGGTTCTATACTTAATATAAACTAAAAGTATAGATATCAAAACCCACTAATTCACCCTGGTGCCCGAAGGGCTACACCACAGATTTTAAATTTCTTATAAACGAAAGAGTTTAAAAAAATAATTTATTTTTAAAAACAAAAAGTTTTTATATAATTACAAGGCTGGCTGGCGAGGCTCAAAACCGAACGCGGTGGAGACTAACTCTCCACCATCTAGGGGTTTTAAGACATAAAGTCAGTTGGAAGAATACTATCTATGAAGACAAAGACAAGAGAAGCAAAACAGTGATTTGTCTATGGATATTTGCAATACATATATGCTATAAAAAACAATTGAAAATTCAATCTTGAAAGAAGTCAAGGGGCAAATCTTGTTTATTTAATCTGTGTGTTTAGTATTTTAAATGCTTCCTCGGCGATTACAATATGGATTCATGTTTCTACTTTAATAGCACAATAGCAATGAAATAATAATAAATGGCTATCTTCATTCTAACTTCGATTTTGTTCCCTTTGGAGTAGAGACTCTTGGGCCGTGGGGTTCAAGTACACAGGCGCTAATTAAAAATTTAAGTTGGCAGGTAGATAGTACTGGTGACCCCAGAGCTGGTGCTTTCCTCGATCAACGAATAAGTATCGCAATAGGGGACTCATAGCCTAGCGGTCTTATTAAGTGGCAGCTAGGTGAGGGGTACCGGGTTCGATTCCCGGTTCGAGGGCAAGTTTTAATTTAATTTAAATTTGTGCTCGGCCTTTGGGAGGGTTGTGCGGTACCGGGCGAGTGCCTAAAACCGTACATGGAGGACATGGTCGAATTTCTAAGGCAAAAACACGAATTATAAAAATCTTATACTTGACGTTGGCTAATGCACAAACCGTGCCAGAGCCATAAAAAAAAATAAGTATCGCAATAATGCTGCCAGCGTTAAAGGGACCAAACTTTTTAAATTTGTTTTAATTTTATTGTTACTATGTAGGTTGAGAAAATTGTAAATACTGTATTAAATTTAAAATAAGCTAAAGGTTAGTAATATTTAATAGTAGATCGTTAACACGATGTGAAGATTATTGGGGCATGGGCTGGCATTTCTCATTAGACTTTGCCATATCAATTAACTATTTGAATTTGAAATATTGCCATATTTACACCACATCTTAATAATATTAAAATAAAATAAAATAAAATATGTTTATTATGGAACATAAGATACATGTATCACTTATTCCACGTCATTAAATTTGAACTTTTAGGCATCCCTACTCATCGGCAAAGAAGACAGAGGGTGTAGGCCGAGAGAAAAAGCCGGCGTAAAAAACTCTCGGTACTCTTTTAAAACAGCAAATCATCAAACAACTCTTATTTAAAACAAATATCGCAAATTAATTAGAAGTAGCCTGTCTAGCACTAGTCCCAGGCCCTTTTACCAACTAGATAATCGTTGACTTTATAGTAAGCCTTTTTACACAGCTTTTCTTTAATACATTTCTTAAATTTATTGAAAGGCAGAGATAAAAAAGCCTCTGGGATTTTATTAAAGAAGAGTATCCCTTTCCCCAAAAAAAGAATTACTAACTTTAGATAGTCTAGTACGGGGAAATTGCAGCCTGCGTTTGTTCCGTGTATTAACATTGTGCGTATGTTCTATTCTAGTAAACTTATCACTATTTTTGTATACATACATAATATTTTCATAAATATATTGCGAGGGAAAGGTAAGTAAATTAATTTCCTTGAATTTATCTCTAAGAGATTCCCTACATTTTAAATTATAGATTGCACGAATAGCCCTCTTCTGCAGGATGAAAATAGTTTCGACATCAGCAGCATGACCCCATAATAATAAGCCATAAGTCATTAAGCTATGAAAGTAACTAAAATAGACAAGTCTAGCTGTATCGACATCAGTTAGTGAACGAATTTTTTTAACCGCGTAGGCTGCAGAACTAAGTCTCTTCGTCTATTAAATGCATTAATTGTATAATTTTTGTGGCAAGTACAAATATTGTAAAAATATAGATAAATAAAAATGGCTAAGATTTTTATGCAGTAATTCAAGATATATAAACCACTAGGTACTAAGAGTGAGATCGATAAAGCGACACTTTAAGAGCGCGTAGTACTAGCAAAGTTTATGATTTCACTCGCGCGTCTCCCTCCGCCCGCTTAAGTGATAATCGCAATCACCGCGGCGCAACGATCGCGCATCTATAGTACAAACTCGAGGCCAATTAGAACGGTGCGTAGTATGTATAATGTATATGCATTACAATTAGATCAAATATTAATATGTGGTTTACTTAATGAGTGCCATATTAATCACGTAGAATATACCTATACTAAAGGAAGCACCTCGTATGCAAACCTGGGTCTAAGTTTATTTATTTTGTATTGTCAAAGCCGAACGAATTAACTATTAAGTCTGTTATGGAAGAACTGCGAATCCGGACACAGGTATTTTTGACACATTTGCGTTGTTTAATAAACTTTTTTTTATTTTTGAAGTTATACTTCTTTTTGCGCGTTAGGAGAAAATGAGAGTTTTACGATGCGCGCGCACACCGACACCGATCACAAAAAACCGACACCCTGAATATAACAGATATTCAAACCTCGGTAACAGTCTGGGCCGCTAGTTGGCGCTTGTTCTGTTTTATCGACAAGTTGCATTGTCTGTTATGGCGTAGGGAAACGTCCCTCTTGACTTTTCGAATTACATGCGGAAGTCACAGTCACGATTCGGAATCTTGCCGTCAATATAAAAATAACATAATATGTAGGTTAATCGGTGTGGGTATAATTAATGTGTCGTTCTATCGAATTAGTAATAACTGTAAAGATAGAATAATGATGTGGAAATAAATAAATAAACATAAAAATACCTGTTGTATTTTAAGTCTAGCTACAGCATTTTGCTTGGCATTAAGTCTTTTGAGGGTCGACGCGCAACTTAATAGGAATAGCTCATCCGGGTCTGTTCTCTGAAGCTCATCATCAGAGGAGTTCAGTCGAGGTTTCTTCGGCTGAAAGTCATCTTCATCCTCTAGTCGCGGTTCTAAAAAGAGATCAGGAAGAGATTGACCTGGACGGTGACGGACTTCTTCTTCTGGTTCCGAGTCAGAGGTTTCTCGTTTTGTTCTGTAAATAACGGTGAATCAATTTGTGAATTCTATACATAAAGCTGGTTTTATCCAAGTATGGCGGCAAAATAACAGATGCTCAATAATCCTAAACTAATTCCATATAAGTAACCAAACAAAGTTTTTTTTATAGAATATGGGACAAACGGGCCGTAGGCTCATGTGATGTTAAGTGATACCGCCATTGACACTCCAATGACAGAGGGCTCGCGAGTGCGCTGCCGGCCTTTTAAGAGTTGGTACGCTCTTTTCTTGAAGGACCATAAGTCGAATACGGAAATATAATACAAACCCTGTTAAGTAATTTTTGGAATCATTCCGAAAAAGATTTATACCGATTTAATTCATTTCGCTGAATCAACTTTCTTTCAAATAATTTTCCTTCTCCTTTAAAACTTAATAATAAATATACGAAGAACTTACGAAGATTCAGATTTCGGTTCTACATGCGGTAATAGGAACCTCATGGCATTGTGGTATGGCCAACGCGTGCGGCCACCGTGAGTCCGCTGCAGTTTTATGAAGGAATCCCGCAATGAACGCCATCGCTTTTTACATTCGGCTTCTGTTAAGGAGATAAAATATTTTCTTTATAAATATCTCAATTGATCCAACTAAAAATCTAAATAGATCAAATTTTATGAAATTACTTTAAATTTCAAAGGGTTAGAAACTCCCTGCAACTCGTTTTCAATTTAATGAGTATATAATATCTTTTATTTTATATCATTATTATTATATAATGGTTAAATTTTGACTTTAACCTCAATCTGTGGTACGAAATATCTACCCCATCTGTTCTCCAAAAAAAAAAAAAAAAAACCCCATCTGTCATGTTATATCCTTATTTCGCGCTTAATTGTCTCTGATTCTGAGCATGAAAAATGTTTTCTTTGTCGATTGCGTTCACATTCTATAAGGCGGTATAGTCTTTGTCACTTTGTTATACGGATTGCAAAATAATAAAAGTTATACCAATGATTTTTATTGATTGTTTGCCAATTACGATTCTTATATTTATCCATAATATAAGAAAGAAACGTTGTGAATGTTCCTAACATTTGCTAATGGAATTGGCCTTGGTAGATTCGATTAATTAATCTTACTTACATAGTTGGTGAAGTTGTATAAAACAGAAGCCTTCTAATTTGTCAGGGTTCGTATATAAAGAAATACTGTATTATAAATTACTAATACAGATATATAGTGATAATTGTATAAATCTAGCGTGGTATTGTACCTACCGATAATAACTATTTTTAAAAGACTAAAAGAAAAACTAAACATTTTAGTTTTTTACCGGCGACCCCAGTGCTCACGCTTTCCTCGCTCAACGTATATAAGTATCACAATAGAGTGAGGATATGCTACCAGAAGTTAGGATCCATAGAAACTTTTGATTATTTTTGTTTTATATATTTTTATGTACAGCTTAGGATGGATACTACTAACCGATATTAATTAGTGTATCCTATAACTAAACTTTATAAACACACTTAATTTTTGTTCACACGAACACTTAATTTCATTAAAATATATTACGTTATATTTCAACAACAGTATGGTACAAACTATACTGTCCTGAAGTATATACATATATTATATTTCCTTATCCAAAACAATGTTCCACGATTCGAATTCCGTACTTATCGCATTGCGCCTAACATCATTGCGCTGATTAATATCAATTTACCTGACACGTTCAACGCTTCCTGAACCTCCTTCCAGGCGTCATCCCTCAACTTTGTTTTATTAAAACCACTCACTGATTTGTCGTACAAAATCGGACGTTTCTCTACCTCTTTAATTAAATCAATTTCATTCATTTTCAAACGTAATTATTCACAACGGAAAATAATTTGCAAAATAGAAGTTTTGCCGCGTTTTTAGATATATCAACGCTTTTTAGGTAATTTAAAGTGCAGTATTTTAATATATCTTTTAGCAAGGGTGTTCTAGACGGGGTAGATAATCTGACTGATGGGTGGAAATGAGGGGATGACGCGCGGGGCGCACGGCCCGCGCGCGCCGTATTGACCGGCGCGGTGACGCGACGCAAGTAACGGACGCCTCAATTGATTTCCTGTGGAATTTCTGGTTATTACTAAAAATATTTATCATCTCATATAATATACAACCAATAGGTATTTGTTACTATGACTTTCACTTTACCGTTTATTATTCTAAAGACATATCTAAATTATATTTTTTTTTTAAATATCATATGTTACGCTTGAGAATTGGAAGCTGCCAGGTTTCGGCACTTTTTGGTCGATAAATTATCTCTAGTAAAACTTTTTACTACTGGTCTTAGTAGATGGCGCTGTGGGTTTTTTAAATGTGCTATTTAAAATATAGCCGCCGATAGAAACATACATTCAAAAAGGACATTACATTTTTGAGTATGACCAAGATCGCGCTTCATAAACTGTATGTGCGCCCTAACTGGCACCGGTACGCGGCACCGGCTATACAGATACCGGCAAACATCTTGAACAAATGTCCTTGTCTGCGCAGAAGCGATTTTTAGGTATCACTGGTGGGGGAGAGTGACGTGTCGATCGCGAGATTGGTAAACCGTAAATCAGTTGACGTTTGTGTCCCGTGCTGCGTCCACGTTCTTTTGCCTCCTTAGTACACTGTGGGACATAATATATAGGCTGCTATGTATTATTAATAAATATATTCTTTCATTTTTTCCTGGTATGGCTTGAATCGCACTTGACCGGTTTTCATTTCTTGTTATCATATTTTAGAAGGTATTAAAAATTATATTTAACTCAATAATATCTGATATACCTACACTAACAATCTACAAAAATTAAAACTAACTATTTTTAAAAGTTATCTACGTAAAAAGTATTCTACAGCTAAATAAAATAGTTAGACACTTTTTTTGCTCGTATGTGTACGATGCGCAAACTTTCCCCCACAGCCTTTTTAATGCTCAAGAAGTTTGCCGGTATCTGAACCAAGAAGTGCAACCGCCAGAGTGCGTGCCGTACAAAATATAACCTTACGGCGCGCAGTGGGACCCAGCGAGGGAAGGTGTAACATGATCATCGGATGGATACATACTTATATGAATGCAGGTTGCATTGCAACAGGTATTTTAAAAAATAGCACGAGATTTTTACTTGCATTGCGAGAATTATTGATGAAAATGATTTTGTGTAGGTACATTGTGGGTAATCTCAAAAAAGGGTGCGTGTACTTATGTACGCGCGTAAGAAGTTATACTTCTTTGGCATTATTAAAAATAGTTTTTGATTGCATGCAAATAATTAATTACAATTAAATAATCAAAGACTGGAAAAGGAGTAATTATAGTCAATAAAGTTCAATTTACATTTGAAAAATTAAACAAATAAATATTTATTATTATTCTCTTACAATAAGTGTAACATAAATTCTATTATTATTCGAATGTTGTTTTTAAATTAAGTCCAATGCCGTAGCATCTTTCGTGGACAACTTCATTCTGTTAATTTTGTGTCACGGTGCGCGCGCATCGTAAATTTTCACTCTCATCAATTTTTCATAACGCGCCTAAAGAAGTATAACTTCAAAAAACCCTAGGTAATGTAATCATTTATTAGACAAGAATGCACGACGACAGAGTTGAAGATCGTTTAATAACTTAACGTGAACAGTGAGTTAAAAATAAAATACTATATAATTAAAATATTTTAATCAGTTGAGTCATTTTTAAACAAAGGAATGAAGAAACCAAAAATCTTGGTGAAAATATTTGTAGGCAAAGTCTGACTTATTTATCCATTTGTTTACTATTCTTGTGTTGAAGGAGAGACGACACATTTCTATGTGTTAGGGTGCGTCCACATGTGGCGAATATGCCGCGAATGTGCAGCTCGCGAGCTGCGCGCGTGCATTTTTGTTCGTTCGCCGCTCGCGCGCAGTTCGGCCGAAACCTAAGCGCCGTACGCGATCATCGCGCGGGCGGCTCGCGTCTTTATTCCGCTCACGCCAGTAAACGGAACTGTAAGCGCGCACGCCTTATACGAGCCTTGCATGAGTTGCGCTAAAGAGGAGCACCAAACCATTGCCGTGACTGCACGCGCGCAGCTCGCAAACGGCTCACGAGCTGCACATTGGCCAGATGTGGACGCACCCTTACAGATACAATTTTCTGTTCAAATAGCTGGTCAGATTTTGCAACATGACAAATCACACAGCAGTGTTGGTTTCCTAAGTAAGCTCAAAACAATTCCTTTCATTGTGCTTTTCTCGTCTTACACGTTTTTATATGTATAAAAAGATATGCTTTTAATGTAAACTTACTATTACAATAATCACATTCAAATTTCTTTACATCACTATGAATTATTAAATGTTTCATTAAATTATATTTGGTGTGAAATGACTTATTACATATCTCACAAACATATTGTTTTCCACTATGTTGTACTCTATGCCCAATCAGACCACTTTTATCTGTAAATTTTTTGTCACATTTATCACAAAAATATTTATATTCTTTTTTGTGAATTCGTTCATGTCTCACTAAAGCAGATTGATCAGCAAATGGTTTATTACAAAACTTACACACATGAGGTTTTACACCAGTGTGCGTGTTTAAATGGTTAATCAAATTGTATTTGAATTTAAACACTTTACCACAATACTGGCAGGGAAGTTGATGTCTCGGTTTATGTACGGACATGTGGTTGTACAAGCCGCAGTATTGCTTAAAACTTTTATTGCAAATATTACATTTAAATGCCTTATTATCTGAATGTATATCCATATGACGAAGTAGATAATGTTTTTTAACAATTTTACAGCAAACTGAACACTCCACATTTTCATTTGTATCATGTTTAATTTTTATCTTGATTTTCTTAGCAATATGTTTTATTGATTTTGTTTTTACTTTTGGCGTCTTTTTGGCTGGTTCTTCCTTAACAGTTTTTGTGATTAACTGGTTATTGTTATTACCATGGATAAGCTTTTGGTGGCCCTTAAAATCAACTTCTCTGAGATATGCAATTCCACAGAAGCATACATATGGAAATGGCTTATGCAGCTTTGAATGTTCTTCCAGTACATTAATAGAGGTAAATTTTCTAGAACAATCCGGACATTCATGTTTTCTAACTATATTTTTGTTATAGTAATGTTTATCTGCAATTTCCTTTTCTTTACGGTTTTTCCTGAAATTAATAATATAAAAAATATTACTTGTTAGATCAGTTGCTGAGTACATTACTGACTAGCCCAACAATACAAACTGGTAAATGAAGGTGATGGCTCAAGTGGTAACAAACATACATTTAGCGTTTAATATGAAATTTATTCCTAAAGAATAATTAGATATATATATATATATGGTATCCCATAAATCTATGTCAAGCTGAAGTCATTTAATATTTATTATTGATTGTATTTAAGTATACATATTTATTAAGTGGCTAACGCCAGAAAATGAATAAAAAATATACTCTTTTTTTATCTACCTATATACAGAATTGTATGTGTTATACCAGATTAGATATCTGACTTTATAAAACTTGCCACTTAGTCTAATTTTATTCTATTTCTGGAATTAAACACTAAGTAGTCCTAACAACTGATTAGAATTTCATAGTTTATGGGATTTTTTTTAATTTCCTCAACATGTTTGTAAGGGCAGGAAGTTCATAAAGGAATAGGTGTAGTTGATATAGAAATCAGTAGCCACTTACATAAAAGTTTCCTTAGCATGATCAAGTAAGTGTAAATTTTTTTCATCACTTTTAAGAAAGCCAGCTGGACATAATATGCATCTATATATTTTTTGCTTTCTTAATTTAATAAAGGCACTCGTTACCTGAAAAGATCAGTACCAGTTATATAAAACTAAGTCTTTATTTCCATAATATAAAGATATCTTATAGTTCGTTAACGTAGTTGTATTCTTAATACGTACATGTAACAATGTATGCTTTTTATAGTCAACACTTTTCAAAAATCCTCTTGTACAGATTCGACAGCTATATATTTCTTCATTTTTTAAAAGGACACGTAGCTCCTGAAAATTGAAAGTTATATTAAAAATACATAAAAATCAATTTCTTTCTTTCCTTATTAGTTTATTACTTACGCATTACCTTTTAGGTTTAAAGACTTTATTTTCTCAAAAAGACAAAAAATGTCACTTACATGAGAATAATAATCTAGATTAACATAACATTGTAGTCGTTCTTAAGATAAAATATAGCCGTAGGTACATGCAATAAACTTACAAACAAACTTACAAACTTACTTACCTTTCTATCCTGTCGATTCAGCAAACGATTGGTTATTTCATTGCTCTTGGATGTGTCCATAATTAATATCTTTGTTTCTCATTTAATAACAATTTCTATATTTTTCTTTTTTTTGTTAAAAAGTTAAAAAGAAGGTTAACAAGTTTAATAGAATTTCGCCGCCATCAATTCACATATTTTCACACCCGGCTCCATAATCCATATGGCATATTCTATCGTTGACTGACTACTTGAGTCTTGACAGTTGACTGTGTCCTGTGACCAATAAGATATGAGTATATAGCGTAAGATACAATATTAACTAACATTGACTTGTGTAATTTTGAAACTTTGCAATCATCTCTGTTTCTTGTTCTATTTTTGTTTACATCTTCGTAAATGATAGTCTATTCTGTGTTCATATCTTAAATAAATATTATAAAAGTAAACAGAAACTACTACCATATTCCACATTGATAAGTTATCAGTAATTCGTGGGTTTTGTTATATGTATATACAATAAAAATATATACAAGTAGTCTATTTATATAGACTCGTGACTTAAATGACCATTAATTAGATACATGCATAGTGTACGGTACAGTGTGAGGCATTTGCAATGACTGGGCAGGTATGTAGTATGTACTAAGTAAAGTTTTGTTCCTTTAAAAAGGCTCATTATTTTACATTATGTAAGGCTCAGGCAGAGGGTAAATACAGTTTATTTGAAGACAAACTAAATGAATTCATCAAAAACTAGTATTTTATGCTGCCAATGCATGTAATTTGAGCGATTTGTTGTCTCACAAAAATTGAAATTTATATTTTAACTTCACCAGATTGAAAGAATTGTACAGGTTTATAAAACCTTGTCAAAAATCCCATCCATACTTGGAGCACGACTAAATAACTCTGGTACCAAAGTGTCATCAAAATGGTCAGTTAGAAACATTGACAAAGGGAAAAATAGCCAGTTCGCTGTTAATTATATCCTTGATGAAGACTTGAAGGTGGTTGCTGAAAGTGACTTTGGCATAAACATCAGTAATGAGTAAGTGGTTTTGGTTTTTAAACATCTTTTCTATGACGAAGTACATGTTTGTTTCTAAATTGAATGTAAAATTACACCAATACCATATATATTTAATATGGAGACATTCATGAGGACTTAAATTTAAACAACTTTTCAACTTTTTAAAAACTTTTCGATTTAAACTCAATTAAAATAATTGGTTTCAAATTGAAATATAATTTATGGTAACAAAATTTTACACTCACGAATAAAACACAATTATATTTACAATTACTGCCAGTTCCTAAATAAAGTGGATGGATGGATGAGAAATGACTTCTTTAATTAGTTATGAATAAAGAAGTGCTTCAAGTGTTTTAAATCATATTTTAATAATTACAAACAAACACAAGTACCACATACATATCACTTATGTGGTTGACCATTATAGATAAAGATCCTAAGTGTTTAAAAAATATTAGAATGAAATAAATAAAATTTGTTATCATAATACTAATAATTACAAAAGTTGTATTCAATGTGTTTATTGTATACTATGTGATACTCTCTAAAACTTTTAAAATTACTGGATTTCGATTGTAACAAAATCTAAGTATATATTGCCAGAATTGTTTAAATTATCATATAATTTAAGATTTTTGGAATATGTTTGAAATTACAGCTTTTATATAGCAGTTAAAAGGTTCTTGAATAATTCTGTTAAAGATGTATTACTTAATTGTGCAGTACTTGTATAAACCAAATAGCCATTTTGAATATTTGGTTGTTTTTTCATAGATTTGCTTGAATATCTTCATTAAAATATATAATTTATCATTGTAAAACCAAACATCAATTATCTTATTTATCATTACCATTACACAAAACTTATGCATATATTTTTTTAGATTGCTCTCGGCTGTATCACCAAAAGAGACATATAAAGCCATAATAAGGGAAGAAAAAAATTGTAAAGATAATAAATGCTTCTTAGAAGTGTGGTCTAAAAACTGCCTTGCACATTCCATAGATTTAACAGCATTGGATATACATGGGAATGTTTATGCTGATAGTAAGTGTATGATTTAAACTAATTATGATCAATGTACGTATATTAGGTTATGAGAACAGATTATCATTCGATTTTGATTTAACATGCTTTAGTCTCAGAATCAGGATTTTTTATACTATTTATTTTCTATCAGAGGCAATTTATTATTTTATAAATATTATATTATACTGCTGTGTTAGCCTAGTAAGTTCAGTGTGCGACTCTCATTCCTGAGGTGTTAAGTTCGATCCTGTACATCAATGGACTTTCTGTCTATGTGTATATTTTTCTCATTGGACTTGAAGTAATACATTGTTTTCACAATTTCTTATGAATCAAGTTTATTTATTTATTTATTTTCTCCACATCACAAGTTATCAAATGCAATATTCACAAATCTGAATATCAGTGTAAATTTCTATAAACATTTCTAAAACCTTAAGTGATAGTGAAATCTTGATTGTAATGATTTCAATTCACTTGCTTATTGTGGACAAGTTTACCATTTACTTATAGATTTTAATTTCCAGCTGAATTTGGTAGTTTGGACTGGTCTCCGGATGAAAAGAGTTTGATATACATAGCTGAGCAGAAACCAAAGAAATCTGAACCCTATATTAAGAGGAAACCAGCCGATAAAGAAGCGAATGGTGGTGGTGATAAGAGAATTACACCTGTGAGCTATTAATATACTAGTTAATACAAAATCTGTTGGTCTTCCATTTAAATGAATCCCGTACGTCAAACATATATTGGATTTTGACATACTGGAGTCAGTCGCGATTGTTTCTGAATCTCACCGTAATTGCTTCGTTTTGACTGAACTACTCATCTGTCTCTTTCCATCATAGCCTAAACACGATTTATCAGAAAGAAACGAAAGAGTATTTTATACAAATCTTTAGTTTGGTTAAACTCATTTAAAGAATTAAAATTAAAAACTCCTATTTTTACATTGCACCAAGAGTGTTCCAACAGACGTCTTAAGTCTTAACTCATAAAGATAGAGTAAATAATTAAGTCTCTATGATCTGTGTTAAACGATATTTGCAGCGCCCATTCTGTCAATCGCTGACAGTTCAAACGACTGACTTTAAAACTGAATTATTTATTTTTTAAGAACCTTTTCCTGATAATAATAGACAATAAAAAAAGAATGATTGAAATTGTTCCATCCATGCCTAAACATAATGCGATGATCAAGGGTAATATAGGTTCATTCATAAATAATATATTATATATGTATTGAAACATGTAACAACTTAATTTCCGTTCCAAATTCAATTCTCTTTTAATCAACGTAATATAAATCAATTGTAGTCTCTGTTAATAGGAAGAGAGTGGAGCGAGGGATTTAAATTACGTCACTGGTGTTTATAGACCACAAGCCCATGAACAAAAAATACCTGTGAAATGACCCAACGTGAATTACGCTTAGAAGGCTGTTACTATATCTGAAAATAGCTCTGAGCACTATGCCGTCATTTCTGAGCGGTACATGTGAGTACGTGAGTGAATGGACTTTCTCATGTACAATGGGGGAATTTCGACTAATTATTAAAGTACGGCTTTGTTATAAGTGTATAGATGATTAAAAATAAATGTCGAAAAACCTAGTGCCGTACAAAAGTGATGGTGCCGGAAGTCGGTGCAAATTTTTAATTCGACGACAGTTGCAGGAGCAATATAGGTCATTTATTACTGTACGGCATTTGTGTCATTCCTTTTGGACACATATACAGATACTTTACCCGTAAACGCCGTACATATTCCCAGCGGAGCGGTCGAAAGCCAAGGGTCGCAACATATGTCTGATTAGCATATAGGTGATGATGATATGAATCAACATAAAATTAAATGATCTTGAGAGTACTTCACAAATAGATAACATTTTCCAGCATGCCGTACATTTTTTGTGGAACACATAGGTGTATGGGGCAAATTACTTTTCTCAGAAAAGAGTCATTTTCCGGTGACTTTTATCTGTACGGCAATAACACAGGTTATTAATACTTTAGACAATCTTCAATAAAAGATAAATGCCGTACACTTTCGATAGTCCGCTACCACCGCCTACCAATACAGGGCGTCCCAAAGTTATGGGAAATGAAGGGAAAGTACCTTAAATATCGTAGATAGGGTATTTTACTAAAAGAAGACTTTATGTTATTTTTAAAAGTTATTAATTCTGCATTCAAAGATTTTTTAAAAATTACTTGCCTCGTCTGGGAATCGAACTGACTTAAATGTAAAAAAAACACCCCTACTTTTATGATGCCAATCGAAAGAATGGCCAAAAACTAATAACTCTTCTTAAGTAACATAGTATTTTAAAAGAAAGGAACAGCGTGAATATATCTTTTTAATCAAATTAAAAACATTATCTATCGTATTCGGCCTAAAAAAATCCCCTACGAGTCTGTTACTTTAGAAAAGTTATTAGGTTTTGGCCATTCTTTCGATTGGCATCATAAAAGTAGGGGTGTTTTTTTTTTATTTAAGTCGGTTCGATTTCCAGACGAGGCAAGTAGTTTTAAAAAAATCTTTGAATGCAGAATTACTAACTTTTATAAATAACATAAAGTCTTCTTTTAGTAAAATACCCTATCTGCGATATTTAAGGTACTTTCCCTTCATGTCTCATAACTTTGGGACGCCCTGTATTATATATATTTTTGTTAAAAATATTTTTCCTTTACCTCTCTCGCTGGTACGATAAGGCTGTAAATATACTTTACAGCCTTATGGTAGTATACTCAGATATGTACAGTTATTAATGACCTTAAGGGACACCTCAAACGTCGTCGAAGTTTTTATCAGCTGTAAAGAATAATCTGGAGTAAAATGTACGGCATCTGGTTTTTTTGTTTATTTATATTTGTTACATATAAAATAACAATAATCTTTGAAAATATTACTCCCCATATTACTCTAGGAGCATTTGAAAAGTCATCTAAATTTCGGAAATTTCATATATTTTTATCATAATATTTTTATTTGTTACCATTTATAATGAACGGCTATAATGTACAACGGTAATATTTAGTAACATTATGTAAAAAAACAAGTTGCCGTACATTATTCTCTGATCTTACAGCAGTAAGAATTTGGTAAATCCTGAAATTTCGATAAATATTTAATTACACAAATATTAACTATATTATTTGGACGGCATAATTATAAAACATTATTGTCCGTGTTAAATAATATTTTGAACATGTTGCCGTACATTTTACAATGACCTTAGGGTATATGGGTGTAGGGGTAGGGTTCCGACCCTTGGCTTTCGACCGCTCCGCTGGAAATATGTACGGCGTTTACGGGTAAAGTATCTGTATATGTGTCCAAAAGGAATGACACAAATGCCGTACAGTAATAAATGACCTATATTGCTCCTGCAACTGTCGTCGAATTAAAAATTTGCACCGACTTCCGGCACCATCACTTTTGTACGGCACTAGGTTTTTCGACATTTATTTTTAATCATCTATACACTTATAACAAAGCCGTACATTAATAATTAGTCGAAATTCCCCCATTGTACATGAGAAAGTCCATTCACTCACGTACTCACATGTACCGCTCAGAAATGACGGCATAGTGCTCAGAGCTATTTTCAGATATAGTAACAGCCTTCTAAGCGTAATTCAGGTTGGGTCATTTCACAGGTATTTTTTGTTCATGGGCTTGTGGTGTTTAAAAAAGTGTTAAGAATGTGTTATGAGGGTCTTTACTTTTTTTTAAATTTCCGCGCGGTTTTATTGACATCCAGTAACATTTTCATTCGTAGTCGATCTCTTTGGTGATTGAAAAATTTAGTAACTTCGTTTACGTTCCAAATTCAATTCACTTTTAATCAACGTATATGTATAAATATTCACCTGTTGCATTGATAAAAATTTGTTGAAAATTAATATTTGGAAGGGACCGCTTAATTAATAAGACAGCCCTTTGTACAGTGAAATTGTTTTTTTAATACTTGTAAATAAATACTATAGAACAAATGTTAAAACGTTTTATTGAACATTTTTTAATTATAGGGTGAAGAATATATTTACAAGCCAGATTGGGGTGAACAGCTAGTTGGTAAGAAACGGTCAGTGGTAGTCAAATGTGACCTCGATACGGAATCTCTCACTCTGCTCGATGGAATACCGGAAGACATGTGCCCTGGACAGGTATTTTTTTACCAACTTATAAAAGTTAATCAAGTAAGGCTTCACGCTAAATTTCGTAAGTGTATGTTTGTCCACGAATTCCTCGGAAACTGTTAAAGTCTAATCGATTCAGTAATTTAAAGATCCACGTATTTCTTCTTTAATATATTTAAAGAGGTATATAAATTGGGATCTAATAATAATACATAAATTATTTTAGTTTATTTAATAAATTATAGCTTTAGACTAATAAACTTGAATGCTTTTGTGAGTTGTTAAAGCTTATTATCAAATCAAATTCAAAATCATTTATTCGTATAGGTAAAACAATGTACACCTATCTTATAACGTCAATAAAGAAATACCTATTAATTGCTTCTAACTCTACATTTACTGCCAGTTCTCAAATCAAGGGCGTAGAACGGAAGAGAAGATCTGGCGATACACTCTCCGCCACTCTTTAATCGCCACGTTTTTTGTTTTACAAAAAGTTTGTAAGGAGCTGCAACCATTACACTATGTTCCACATGACATCTTTAAGTAATTAACTAAAAAAATATATAAACGAAAATAATATAAAAACAAAGATTTGTCCCCTATCAGCAGTAGGAGAATTAGGAGCACGCACTTACATTCACGTGGGAATTACTTACGTTCTGGTTCTGGATTTCCAGTGAAAACTATTTAGAATAACCTTAATAATCAAGGATATACCATCAGATACTTATAGTCGTGTTTAAAATATATTAAACACAATATAGAGTACTACACATATGCATGGTAACCATATCCTGACTTCTGAAAAATTTCAGGTAAAATTCACGCCCGACGGTCGTGCAGTCGTAGGTGTGGTCTGGCAGGTCTTTGACCCAAGTCGACTAGGACTTATATTTTGTACGAACAGACTAAGCCATATATTCTACTTGAGCCTTGATGGTGTTTATCGTAAGTACTTAATCTATGTTTTAATCTATTTAAAAATAGGGCCTCTGTACAAATACTAAAATAAGTTTTTAATTTTAATTAAACTGTAAATAGAATTTATTTTCAATATCTAAGTGAAGGTTGAACAATAGAGATCGATCACGACTGAATATGGTAATGGCTGACAAAAAACTGCACCTCAAATAAAAAAGTAAACTTCCGAAGCATTAATAGCTCTTTTTTACCCAGTGACGCAATTTGTTAACAGGGACCACAATGGGGACCCGTAACAGTTTTAATGCAGTTTTATAGTCCTTGAGAAACTAAAACATAAAGTGCAAAAATTTTTGTTCTACGACCAAAACTGACAAAGTTATGGGCAAAATACCGAACAAGGTTTTCTGACCGCGCGAATGCAAGCGATGACGTCACAAGATCTCAACGCTTGCCGCCGAACCACAGCGCGCCCCACGCTGTTTATTCTGTTCGCGATACTCGTCCAACACGGAGCGTAACGTCACCGGTTTATACCCAATCGATTAATAAGTGATTTGATTTGTTTAATATTAGAAGGTTGTTATTATAATATAACAAATGAGTGGTAGAAATAAGGTAGATATCGGTTTTGAGCAAGCGCAATCCGATAATCTACCTAAAGTTGATACCTTCATGGTATTTGATTATCTTAGTAATCATTTAAACTACACAAACGCTGAAATTCGTGGTTGGAAACTTCATATGCAAATCTCATTATCAACCTAATCAAAACAGCAGGATAATAAGTAGGCAGGTACACTGGACAGTATAAAAACTTTGTACGCAGGTCTCGATTTTGAAGAAATGTTGAATTTAATTGGACCAAAAGTACTTAAAAAAGACACAATTTATAGAAAATCATAATCATGATGACTCGCGACGTGCGACGCGTAATTACTGAACCGCGTAACAGTCAAAGGATTCGCCAAAAAACCGACAGCCGGGTGGAGCACTCAAAGCGAGCAACGAGCGGCTCGTTGCTCGCTGGTTTCCCCGTAACACGACGTACTGACTGCACGAATGCTCGCTGTGCAACATTACATTACATGTTACATTACACCTCGTAACGTTGGTCAGTTCCCACCTTAAAGGCAACAACATTTTGGAAGGAATATATATGTCACCGTAAAATTGTAATCTATCTCGCGAGATTATAAACTGTCGAAAGATTGTGAACTCAACGTACTGCTTACAATTTAACGTATTATTATTCGGTAGATTGTAATCTATCGAAGTGAAACCATTTCGGCCGCCCCGCGGTTGGCTTGTACAAATGTGTAATATCTTCGCAACCAATATACCGATTTCAATGATTTAAAAAGTATTGTACCTAATCGAGTAAAAGGAACACCATTATATAGATAATATATGCATTTTCCGACTTGATACGGGGACCCATTATTTTGACTGAGTTTAATGAAGATAAAATTTTTCAACCACCAAAAAGATTAATTAGGAATGAACACGATACTGGCTGTCAATAAAAACGCGCGGAAATTAAAAAAAAAGTAAACCCTCGAAACGAATTCTTAGCTCTTTTTTAAACAATTATGTCACTAGGACCTAATTTGAAATCCTCCTTCCACTCTCTTCTTGTTTACAGATACTACAATTGCTTTTTATTACGTTGATTAAAAGAGAATTGAATTTGGAACGTAAATAAAGATACATAATTTTTCAATCACCAAAGAGATCGATTACGAATGAAAACGTTACTGGCTGTCAATAAAACCGCGAGGAAAAAAATAAAAAAAAGATATAAACGCGCGAATTGTGTTCTGATATTGTTTTTTCACGTTCTGTAGCCCTCGTGTAGCGATAATAAAATAAATATATGTTATTTTATATTTTAATCTCGAGTGACGAAATCTCTCGCTCTACTTTCAATGTAAACAATCAATCGTCTTCAATGGTTTTTCATCGTTGACACACTAAGAAACAGCTTCTGTATAAGTGTCTATTAATAGTGACACAATTTTGATCTTTATCACGTAAGAAATAATGCTTATCTTTCCATATGACCTACGTCCTTTTGGGTTGATTTGATTGTAATTGCCAAACAAATGTGATCTTTATTTTGTTTATTGTAGGTTGCAAAAAATATTTAGGAATATATTTATAAATCTTTTGTCTATATTTGTGTAAGGTGAATAATATTGACCCAGTACCTTTTGAGTTCTGACTAAGTATGTTTTTGAAAAAGACGATTTTTTTATTTATTAATAACAAATAAAAGTACTTTTATCGGATAAATATGATATATTTTATACTTAAGAGACAATTTTATATATTGCTTCTAAGCCGTTAATAAATTACTTCCAGGTAGGTTAAGTAGACCTGAAGGCGCTGTCAGGTCTCCCAGACTGTCTCCAGAGGGGGACGTCGTGTGGCTCCAGCGAACACTTGGGGGGCCGCATCATGCCTGCCATCAGATCGTCAGGCTGAGGAAGAATGACGTAAGTCTTCAAAAAGATGCTAAATTGATTCTAAATTTACATTTATTACCAGTTCGTAAGTCAAAGGCGTAGAGCGGGCAAGAGGAACTGGCAATAAACTCTCTGCCACTCTTTTTAATCGCTAAGTTTTGAGTCATACAAATTGTATGAACTGGTGCAAATCAATCGCAAGGATTAGGATCATTAGTCTGGATGGGTATTAGAAGTCACAGAGTACGGGCATAGCTCTTTTGGGTTCTTTTTTTAAACAATACGATAGCTTCATAAACTATTTATAATAATTATTTTCATTTAAAAAAAAGAATTCTTGTTAATTAATTCAGTTCACAAGTCGCTGATGTATGTAATAGCTTTACGGGAACCGAAAAAGAATTAAATTTTGACATATTGTGTCAAAATGATGGTAGGAAAAAGTTTTTATTCGATAAATTTTTCATTAAAAGGTTGTTTAATGATAGTTTGTTTCAATGCCAAATAGTTTATTGGAGCTTATTTAATAATAAGGTTGATTAAGTAGGCTAGGTAGTTACACACACACACAAATACATACCCACGTACACACACACATACAAACACACGCATACCAATATATATACACCCTCACTCTCTCTGCTAAGGCTAAAAGCCTTTGAGTTATATTTAAGAATTATTCTGTGTTATAGTTAAGTAAGCTGACAGGTTTTATGAAAATAAATGAGTGGTGCCACCATACATAGTCTTTTACCTGCTCAGGTTGTTTGAAGAGATAAGATATTTAATGATAATAGATTATTTTAACTTTTTCAGCTGGATAGTGTAATTGCAGAACAGATTAATGAAAGCAAAGAGGAAATACTATTGGATATAGTAGAGGACAAAATGTATATTAAAAACGGGACATTTTACGGCATGTATGGCCTAAGTTTACCCCTAAAATGCTGGAGCAGGGGACGATTGATTTTCAGTACTCCATGTCTCAATGAGGTTAATAGCTACGTATTGGATTTAGGTAAGTAGAAAGCACACATAAATCAAAAGTTCAACGTGTGTGTGTGTGTGTGTGTGTGTGACCGACATGGTTTTTAGATTTTGAAGATCTGAAAATTTTGAAATTATTTGGAACCTATACAATCTGGTACTGAACCACTCTGATGATTGAGCTTGTAGCATTTAACGCATATTTCTTGTATTTTACGATACGACCTCCAACTATTCAAAGTACTGCTCCTACAAAAGCCGGCAACGCACCCACTAAAAATGGGTGTCCTGACTGATTGTTTGCCCCCGTTATATAAAAAAAGTGCGTGCGTACAAAGTACATAATATGTCAGAAGTGAAACTTCTTTGGCAAATACATTTTTAAGTCTTGTTCATATTTATACAAATCTAAAACTTTAGATTTCCGAGACTTAGAAGGAGGGAAAAAGGAAGATATGTTAGGAATTTAATAGTTTAATTATCATTAAACTATTAAAAGTGTCGAAAATAATACATATCATAAATTTATTTCTTATATAATAAAAACACGTAGCATTTTAATTTCCAATCCGTCATTTGAGATTTGAATAATACATTTTGCATAAAATATAAATACAATAATATTTCATAAATTCTCTTTACGAAACTTTAATTTTAAAATTAGAATTTGGTATAAGGTAATTCGCCCTTCTCACTCTCCTTCACTCTCTCTCTCCCTTTTCTTCGACAAAAACGCATCATGCGCCTAAAGAAGTTAATATATAAATAAAGAGGGGAACACTTATTTTACGATGATTAATTTAGCTTACAATATTCCAGAAAGCAAGATTATAACGAATATCTCGCTTGTTCCTGCTGGTTCTACGTCAGTACTGTGCGTGGTGGACGACAAGGTTTTGGCGTCCTACTCCAATGTCAAAACTCCGGGACAGGTGAGATTTTACTAATTATATCATTTTTAATGTATATATGCAAATACATTTTAAATGTGAAATACCTATAAAAAGGAAATTTATTTAATTAAATTCTTTAAGTTGAAAAAAATAGAGTATATGTCGCAGCCAACTCTTAACAACTATGCTTATACCAGCTTAATAAGCCGTTCAATTTACAGTCTAGCCTATTAACTAAACGGCGCCGTTTAACTAGCGGCCTGAAATATATTGAGCCGTAGTGTTTGTTACATTTAATAAAGTAGCTGGCTATTCGTACGATAGAGTGACCATGCGGCAGAAATAAAAAAGGTGAAACATCTGACATAAAAAGTATTTCTTTAAAAATTAATTTGCTTGAGTCTAAATTGCAGCTAAATTCACATTATTTCTGTTACTACACTCTTCCATTGTACTTGTTTTTCGTAAAACTTTGGAAAATACCCATAAAAGTTGTGGTTTTCCGACGCCATATTGACAGTGAAGAGTTTCGTTTCTAGTTTGAGAGTGGCAGAAAGTGGAACTAAATTTATATTAACAGTCAACAGGCTAGGCAAGTAATGAAACGTCATTGATCCATCATGGCGGAATATCTTTCAGGCCGCTAGCTAAACGGCGCTGTTTAATTAGAGGCTAGGCTGTTAATTGAACGGCTTATAAGCTAGTTGGATGCGACATATATATCTTGGTTAGTCCAGTGGCCTACGCGTGCGACTCTGAGGTTGTAGGTTCAATCCCCGGCTGTGCTCCAATGGACTTTCTGTCTTTGTGCGCATTTAGTATTCGCTCGAAATGTGAAGGAAAACATCGTGAGGCAACCGGCTTACCTTAGAACCACAAGTCGACGGTGTGTGTCAGGCACATGCGGCTGATCACCTACTTGCCTAGTAGCTGATCTAAACTGACCTAAATATGTTGTAGCGCCACTGATTTTTTTATAATGGTTATAAGTATTTTAATTAATACATATATAAAGAAATACATAATAATTGTTATGTCTTGACTCTTAGTTGTATATCGCAAAAATACCGGAACGCGGCTCGGAAATGTCAATACAGTGGGTTCGCGTGAGTGCACCAAACCCGGTTCCTGAGCTAAGCGATGCTCAAGTTGAGTATATGAATTTGGAGCATCCTAATTGCGAGGATGACGTCAGTAAGTGTATTCTTATTTTTTTTTATAGAAAATAAATGGATGATGATTAAGCACCAACGAACTCCTGTATGTCAAAAACACTTTTTTTATATAACAAAGGGCAAACGGGCAGGAGGCTTACCTGATGTTTAGTGATACCACCGCCCATGGACAATCTTAATGCTAGAGAGCTCGCCAGTGCGTTGCCAGCCTTTTAGGAATTGTTACGCTTTATTTTGAAGGGAACTTACGGTTATGTTTGTATTTAAAGACGCTTGAGGTTAATTTTGGCTTTAGTGTACGACAAATTATAGAAACCAATTCGACTTAGGGTCCTTCAAGCAAAGAGCGTACCAATCCTTGAAAGGCCGGCAACGTACTTGCGAGCTTTCTGGCAATGTGAGTGTCTATGGGCGGCAGTATCACTTAACATTTTTTTTTACTGAAGTTTGACAAAAACAATGCTTCCAAATATTTAAATTTATTGATATAAAAATTACTACATTTCTATCTGGCTTCACAGAGGAAAGTTTTGTCTATGGTCATACCAAAAACAATAGAAGCCCGACCAAAGTTTGACAAAACAATGTTTCTAAATATCTGGGCGCTTTGTCCACATTGTGTAGGTCGCATAGTAATATATAAATTATAGATATGTATGTTTGTTTGTGCAGAATCCTTCAACTGTATATTGGTAAGCAGCAGCGAGAAGCGCCCTCTGGTGGTTTGGCCTCACGGTGGACCTCATTCAGCCTTCGTCAACGCATATTCTTTGGAAACTGCCTTTTTTCACTTACTAGGTAACTTTTTTTTTATAACATACAGCTGATACTGCAAACGTTGTTTTGCCATGTATATTATTTCTAGGAAACATTTTTTAGTTCAATAAAAATAATTATCTATCATATTAAAAAAATAGGGGTGGATCGTAGAAGGGTGAAAATTATTGGCTGTATGTATTTTTGTATGCTGTATCATAAAAAATAAAAATAAAAAAAATGTCTAAAAAATACACCCCTTATCACTTAGAGGTTTGAAAGATAGTATACAAAATGTAATGTCCGAATTAAATTTAATTAATTGTAAAATACACCATTTATAATAAGGTATAATAGAAAAAAACAGTCGCGCTGCAACCTTATAGATCAGGCCTCAAATTTCTGTATCTATTTCACGATAAATTTTTAATTGACAAGTAGGTGCCTGACACGATTTTTTCGAAGGCCGGTTCTAACGATGAAAGAGAAATATCCATTATGTGTGTTTTTACGCAAAAAATATTTAATTAATAAAATTTAATTAACTTAATAAATACTTGTCGTGACGGTACAGGTTAAAAATCTTACGAAACGTCAGATTTTGATATGTATTTTTACACAAAAAAAAATTAAATTCCTATTAATTTAATATTTTTTCCGTCATATTACAAGGTTATAAATGTTAGGAAACGTCAGATATGTATGAATCTACTTTTTAATTTCGATGTTCTGACATATTGCTTCGCAGGCTTTTCGAGCCTCCAAGTAAATTATCGCGGTTCAATTGGTGCGGGAGACGCTTCCGTCAACTTTCTACCGAAACGTATCGGGGCCGCCGATGTTATTGACTGCAAATATGCTACTGATCAGGCGGTAAAATACTTTTAACATTCATTCACCAAAAACCTCATTAAAATTCGCTTGCCCTGAAGAATAAAGTCGACTGTTTTAATGTTTTCTCGACTTCCTTGATTGAACTTTTATTTTTTTAAGAATTTTAGCAAAACATTTTATCATAAAAAATACACGAGGATGTCTTTATTCTACGGAAAATATTTTGTGCACAATGTTACTTGAAAAAGAGGTAAACAAATAAAGAGTGGTAATAAATGATTACGTTCTAGACATTTAAAATTACCGTCGTAATGTGCGGTTACTGTGTCATCCGTAATTATGTTAAAACAATCGTAAAACGATTTTGCTCTTCAGCCTATTAATTAGATAAATTACTGTAGTTTAGTTTAGTTATTACATTTAGTTAATTTTATCTGTTAACTAAATACATAACAAAAATGTTTAAATCGTCAAATAGGAAAAAATAGCGTTCATACGCGGTAATGCTATTATTATTAGGATACTCAGTATATAATAGCATTACCTTCTTTTATTTTCCTGAAAGAAATAGATTTTCTTGTTTATTTTTCTAGTTGCCTTTGTTCCCCGAGGCAAGCGACTTGTAAAAGTGTGTAGGTGTGGGATTTCGACAGTGACTAACCCGTAATATAACATACTCTATCACCTCCACTTATATATTCCAAACTCAAGTTATCCTACTAGGATTATGTCGCGTATTTCTGCCTTTTGGCATAGGCCTCCTCCATCCGTTTCCACTTCTTCCTATGTTATGATTATCTCAATCACCTTGTAAGAGTCAAAATACGTCAAAAATAATGTACCGACATTACTGATTTTGGACCAATGTCGAAGGTTTATAATGCAGGTGAAGCAGTTCGCAATAGATGAGAAGCGACTGTGTTTGTATGGCGGGTCGCATGGTGGATTTCTGGTAGCGCATCTCAGCGGACAGTACCCGGGCGTTTATAAGGCTGTGGTTGCCAGAAACCCTGTCATTGATTGCTCCTCTATGGCTGGAGTCACGGATATACCTGATTGGTGAGTGAGAAACTCTTGCAACATTGATATATGCTCCCTTATGGCGTTTTTCCGAAAGTTTGTAACGTAATTTTTGGTCTTTCGTATTTCGTCCTGTATGTTTTTGTGATTGTAATTTTATTTGCGATTTCTTTTTACTTAAAAATGGTTTGCTTTCTGCAACAAAATGTCTTCTGTCTTCTCATTTGGCATTTTATGGAACATCAAATATTTAAATAGCTTTTAATTTTGGCTTTTATTAAATTAGTATTTGTATATTTGTTTGTCTGTTTATCAATCTTCATAATTCTTCGATTCGCTTTTGTATATACTTTGCTTTAGAAGTTTGGCTATAAACAAAATAAAAATCCTTAACTACCCTCAATATTGAGTTTACCAATTATTTCTATCACACTAATATGATAAATTAGTAGATCCAAACTCTGCTGTTTCAATCGAATTGAATTCATATTATTAAAACGTTTCTGCTTAGTTGAGAGATGGTATATACAGTTCTATCAAAGTCATCAAATTGGGGTATTTCAAGAAAAGAGTGTACCAAATAAAAATGTCGTCAAGGCACTCGCGAGCTTTCCGGCATTGAGAGTATCCCGGCGGGATCCCTTAACATCAGGTGTGCATGCCCGTTTGCCAGTTTTTCTATTAAAAAACCCAATATTTATTTACAAGTTTGTCGCAGCGAGTCTTATAACGTAACTGTAAAATGGATATTTCTCTTTAGTCGTTAAAACAAGAATTTGTTTCACAATATATTACGTGGGCTTAAAGGTTGACACAAAGATGGCGCTGCTAGTTTTAAATTAATATTATTTTTAGTTAGCCCTAACCTTTAAAAGACATGTGTATAAAGTTGACAACCGTCGTACTATTAGTTTGTGAGAAGGAACTTTTGTTTGTATAAAAAATTGATAAAAATAAATTTCCTTGTTAATAAAAAAAAACGTATTTAAGCCAAGACTTGGCTTGATAAACCTTATTCGGACTCTGCACCAAGAAAATCAACCGTTGATAAGTGGTATGTCCAGGCGAAATGAGCACCGAGAAAGATGCAGGCAGTGGACGACCCAAAGAGGCTGTTACCGACGAAAGCAAAAAATAATTTTTGATATCCTACGAAATTTTCAGCCCATCGTTAGTTAGATAATAACTGTAAAAGATGAGAGTCTATTACTAATCATACTTAAATAAAAGGAGATTTTGTCTATAGGACTCGCAACCCTTCGTTTGAATTACCGCGGCTCAACTGGTTCAGGAGATGCGAACGTCATTTCCCTCATGGGCAATGTTGGGGTTTATGATGTACAAGACGCACTGTTAGCCTTAAATATATTGAAAGGAAAATTTGAGAAATTTGTTCTATATGGCGGTAGTTACGGGGGATTTTTGTGTGCCCATTTGGCTGGACAATATCCAGATATGTTTAGAGCTATGGTATTGAGAAATCCACTTATAGATTTGGCTACGAAAGTCAGTTATGCGGATAACCCAGATGGGTGAGTTTTGAATGTTAGTAATTTGGTGAAAGTATTGGGTCTGTAAAAGTTCTGCGGGTAGTTTCAAATTTTGATACAAAATAACATTCTATTACGGTGCGTGGTTTTTTTTGTGTTTTGTATTAATTATATGTTATTATTCACTATATATATATATATTATACACTGTTATTTATGTATATTAGATTTTATATTTTGAGGGTAGAGTCAAAATTTTCCTTTTAATTTTTTTTTTAAATATATTTTCCTTTTTATGTCAAAAAAAGTATAATGCTTATTTACCCAATATAGTGGATTTGTGTTTGTTAAAAATTATTTTGAGGGTAGATTAAAAAATAAATTATATTTCCATTATCTTCGATAAAAATTTAACGCTTATTTTCCTAATTTTATGTTTTTGGGCTTGTTACTAAGTATTTTATTATAATGCATGTTAATTTGCGTTTATTTGCGAACTAAAATAGTATGAAAAATATATTTAAACTTATTCTAGTCTACTAAGAAATATTGAAAGAAAAGTTTTAATGCGGTATGAAGCAGACACATTTGCTTGTTGCTCTTTTGGCTATTTGGGCAGCCTTTTGTGCCTGACACATCGATTCTGTCCTTAGACAGTTTTATAAATAAATAAATCAGTGGCACTACAACCTTTTAGGTCTTGGCCTCAGATTTCTGTATTTGTTTTATGATCATTTGTCAATCTAATAGGCAAGTAGGTGATCAGCCGATTTTTTGGGTCTAAGGCAAGCCGGTTTCCTCACAATGTTAACCTTCACCGTTCGAGCGAATGTTAAATGTGCTCATAGAAAGTCCATTGGTGCACAGCCGGGGATCGAACCTACGACATCAGGGAGGAGAGTCGCACGCTTAAGCCACTAGGCCAACACTGCTCTGACAGTAACTGAAATAGACAAGCAAACTCTCAAAAATTACATTACAGGTGTTACGTAGAAGCTGGTTTAAATTACCACGAGTCCGGTGAAGTGCTGGACAAAGAGATTCTAGCGATGCGCAGATGTTCGCCCATAGTCCACGCCCACAAGGTGAAAGCACCCACCGCTTTGATGCTGGGTTCAAATGATAAACGGGTGCCGTGTTACCAAGGACTGGACTATGCTAAAAGGTTGAAGGCTAATGGAGTTAATACGAGGTACGAAGAATCTTTCTCTTTCTGGTATTTTAGAAAAAAATTTTTTTAAGTTATAATGATAATTATTTATTTAAACAGACAATCATAAAACTGGTTATTATTATGTTAGTTACAACATTATATTAAATATTTTATTTCCGAACCAATTCGACTTGGTCAGAAGTTTTGAAACACATTATATTTTAAAATTTACTAAACATATGGAAAACGTTTAACGAAGATAATAGGCAAGTAGGTGATCAGCCGACCGACTCCTTCAATAAGGTCTAAAACCAGTTTCCTCCCCATGTGTTCCTTTCCACGGTAACAGCGAAGCCGCAAGCCACTAAGCCAACTTAACTATATGATGAATGGTTAAAGCTACATAATAAATAATATTTCAGAGTATATATGTACGAAGATAATCATTCTTTGAGCAGCTTAAATTCGGAAATGGATAATCTCATCAACGGTGCTGATTGGTTCCTCACCCATTTGAAGGAATAACTGAAAAATTATATTAAATATATGAAATATTAAGGAGACGAACCTAACATACTGATGTTTGTAATGGCTAAGCTCCGAAGTTAATCAAACTTTTGCATTTGTTATGCATACATTTATACTGAAATTATACATTTTATATTCAACTGTGTTTTATTTGCAAACTATTTTAGACTGAACCTAACCGCCATTTTTACATATATATTCTCTAGAAACTTCCACAATCTTGTGGGACAATAATATTTAGAATTTGTACAAGCCAGCCCGCCCTTTTTCCTACTCTAGTATAAGGTAAAATTTGCATTTTATTTGCATTTATAATCGACAAAGAAATAAAATACAGTGAAATGGTTCGAAATTTATAAAGAAACAGAAAAACATTATTACATATTCCGGTATTTTTTATTAACTGAATGAAAAGTAATTTTGATAAAGAAGAACCTTTTACTCTATTTCTTTGTTGATAAAAGTAAGGAAGTGAGAAAAAGAAAGAGCGAGCGAGACTACGAAGAACAAACGAAGGGAACGACCCGTGTGTAGTGAATGAATACGCTTTCAAAATTTTAATAAACCTGATTTAGATGCGTTCATAGAAAACATAATTTGTTTCGTAAGTTCCACTGCTCGCGCGGCCGTGAGTTAACATCGATGATACGATATTTTTCGTATAGCAAGATCCTTTTCATGTTTTTGTTATCATCCCCAGTAAAAAAGCAAAGTGCATGACCATCTGAGCTAACCCTCCTACGCTTATAAAATATAATTGACCATGCGGCAGGTGCGTGCAACATATGCACCACCCTATAATGATTATTTACCAACTATTTTAAGAGCTTACAATTTTAGGCTTCACTAGCCCTTACACATCGCCCTTTAATGATATCGGGTGTGAAAGTAGTTTTAAGCGGCCCCCGCACCACAGATATAGGGTGTGTGAGACCCAACTCTCTCCAGGCTTCCTCTGCTGCTCTGGAAATCATATCTACTAAATTATCTCTACTAAGGACACTTACTAAATCCAAGGGTAAGTTTAGAGTCGAGACTTAGTGCTTAGTCTGACACTCTTACGCCAGAAATGTATTGGATTTTGTCATACGGGAGTCAAAGTTTACGCTGTCTGTTTTCTGAATATCACCCACTCCACTCTTAATCACGTCAAGTCAAGTCAAAATCATTTATTCATATAGGTAACGCAATGATTATTAATGACGGCTCATTGGTCTTTGGTTAGTACCCCTGACTGCGAAAGCTGCGAAGCCATGGGTACCTACCGGGTTCGATCCCCGGCTGAGACAAACATCTATGTGATGAGCATTTGGTGTTGTGCTTAGGTCTTGGGTGTTTAAATATGTATTTATATGTCTATCTATCTATAATATGTATGTATATCCGTTGCCTATTACCCATAACACAAGCTTCACCAGCTTAGCATGGGACTAATCAATTGGTGTAAATTGTCCTATAAAAAAAGTACACTTATGAACGTCAATATATATATATATTTAATGCTTCTAATTTTACATTACATACATTTTACTGCCAGTTCTCAAATCAAGGGCGTAGAACGGAAGAGAAGAACTGGCAATAAACTCTCCGCCACTCTTTTTAATCGCCAAGTTTTCTTAGTGTGAGATTCGTTTTAAGTTAAGAATTTATTTTATTAATATGACTGAGTCCTCGGGGCAACAAAGAAGTGGTGGCCCCCTTGCACCAAATTATTAAAATAAAATGAACTTTTTTTTTCAGTCGAGTTTTTCAATCAATAAATTATTGTGAAACCAAGTAGATTAATTATTTTATTATTTTACAAATATATCAAAAGAAAAGTTGTTTATATGAGCGTTGTTCTTTTGTGGAGGCCTCGGGGCTGAGGCCTTGGTTGCCCTCCCCTAAATCCTGCCCCGACGTTCGGCAAACTGGAAAAAAAAGGAAAATTGATTTAAAACAATGTCATTGTCTGATGATGTGTTGTTGTTTTTTACCGGGCGGGAGGTGTACGTGTGTTAAAGGTTAATGTTTAAATTTTAAATATTAACCTTTTATTACTCCATACTTTAAGTTTGATCAAGACTGTTGAGTCGTTTCTATTACTCTAAACACGATAAGTTCTAGACACTATATATAATTGGGGTAGAAACTGAAAATATGACGTCATTGATGACGTCATTTAGAGGTCGTCCACTAACCTCTAGAGCAGTGTTTCCCAACCATTATTGTGTCATGCTTAACCTTAGGCATTCTAAAAATTTTATGCATATGAAACATACATAATTAATATTAAAAAAAAATTGTTCACTTAAGAAACTTAAAAGCTAGGTTTTAGGAAGACAATAGGAAATTGTTAACGAAACACAGTAAGTAAATTTTCAAAATAAAATGAAAAACTGAAATTTAAATTCCTAATAAATTTTCGAATAGCTTAACAATCAAATTGCCCCCCTTGTGGGCTTCACGTTGGGAAACACTGCGATAGAGGTTATAGAAAACCGTAGCTTAAATGACGCTTCAGCGATTTGGAGTTGATTAATGGATTGACTTTATATATTCCGCTCTTAAGGTCACCAACCCTGAAGCTTGTGTTTGGTTCCATTCAGATACACGAACGTAAGCACTATAGGTATACTGTAGGTATGTCTAACAGTATATAGGAGCTTCGTGGCTCAGCAGTTTCAGAGATTTTAAATAAATTTGTGTTTTTGTGGTCGGCGGTATGTAATGCAGGTCTAAGCCAAAACAAAGGTCACCAGAAGTAGATCAAAACAAATTTAAAAAGTTTGGTCACTGTGGCAGTGTACCTTTAACGCTGGCAGCATTTCCTCACTGTATTGCGATACTTATTCGTTGAGCCAGGAAAGCACCAGCTCTGGGGTCACCGGTACTATTAACCAGGCGCCAACTTAAATCTTTAATTAGCGCCTGTGCACTTGAACCCCACGGCCCAAGAATCTCTACTCCAAAGGGAACAAAATCGAAGTTGGAGGAAAGACTCTTATATTTGTGCCGTTTATTATTTTCTGCCTGCTATGCGGCCGCCCCAGCTTTTTTGCTTGTCCGAAGGAGGTGAGACGGGGCAAACTTGTCCACACAAGTAGCATCCCATACTAGAGCCCGTCCCATTTTCCAAGGGATCCACGACATTCGTTTCGACATTCCATTTCATCTATATTATGATTTACTATGTCGGTTAAGAATATTGTAAATACGGTTTTTAGAAATATAACTGTATAATAAGGCAAGTTCAATATACGTTTAAAATGTATAGGGGATAGGGGTGATTCGGGATTCGGTTCCTGGCACGGGGTGCGTTCCGCTCCACCGGGAACACTACGCACGCGGCGAACGGGAAATGTATTTTTTAATAGATGCCGACCGCAATTTAAAAAATGCACCAACTGTACATTGATATGTATGAAGTCCCGTAAGCAAATGGTTCAGACATAAAATATGTCTACTTTATTACATAAGTATGTGTGTACATATACATATATAATAAAAATGGTTATCTTTTGTTTAAGAATAGTGTAAGTATCAGTCGTGATTTTCTTCTAGCACTAAACAATTTTTTCGCAGAAAATCGACCGCAATATCTTTATAAGTATTCACCTTGTCCGCTGTTCCACAACTGAGCGTATTTTCAAGATATTGCTGCACTATTCGACTTCTGTCCTTCAAGAGCGTAACAATTCTTAATTGGCCGCGTTTGCGAACCCTCTGGCACTTCAGATGAGCCTCTTGCCCGTTTGCCCCCTGTTCGATAAAAAATATACAAAAACCGATGACAAAGATATACGTTTTTTTATGTATAAGTAGTGCTTTAGTTCTGGTCACGTGTTGTAAAAGACAATATTACATTTAAATTATACCAAGTACTTCTAATAAGTATTCTACCATTTCATTAGTGTTGGGTTAGCACTCAATGTGATTATTGTATGAAAGGGTGGCGTCGGGCGATGTTTGCCCTTGGCAAACAAAAGACGCTTTTGCTATACATTTTATCAATATTCATCTACACTTCAATTGAACAAGGAATCGGTAAAAGAGACTACTTTGATACTATAACAGACTGTTTGTTAAGTTCGGTCTTCTGTACCTATGCTTTAATTATGTTTAATTGAAGTTAGTTCCATTTGCTTGTACATGTGCCTTAACTATTGAACACTTATTCAAGCGAGCAGTGTTTGCCAAGTGGCTTCAGCGTGCGACTCTCATCCCTGAGGTCGTAGGTTCGATCCCCGGCTGTGCACCAATGGACTTTCGTTGAAGGAAACCAACGAACAACAAACAGGCACCAACGGTGAAGGAAAACATCGCGAGGAAACCGGCTTGCCTTAGACCCAAAAAGTCGACGGCGTGTGTCAGGCACAGGAGGCTGATCACCTACTTGCCGATTAGATTGAAAAATTATCATGTAAAAGATTCAGAAATCTGAGGCCCAAACCTAAAGAGGTTGTAGCGCCACTGACTTATTCAAGTAATGAGATTCTAATATGTTAACTTCGCAGATGTTATATTACCTTTAACCAGGCAAAACAATAAATTATATGTGTATTTACAATATTCTTAACCTACATAGTTTAATAAGTGTCGCAATACAGCGAGGAAATGCTGCCAGCATTAAAGGCACACTGCCCCAGGGAACAAACTTATTAAATTTGTTTTAACTTTCTATTTATAATTTTTTAATTATTATTACTTATGTTAGGTTATTTGGAGTGAAACGTTTCAGTATATACAATTTTTATCGTTAATTTATTATGCACGTGTATTATATTTATAAGCAATCCAATTTTTGATTTTCAGACACCTTCAAAATCGTAATTAAACCGCCATTATAATTACTACCGACGAGCAAGGAAGTACCCGCAGTCTCCGATAAGGAACCATGACTAATTGTCTGGAGCTATCGTATGCGGGCTGTTCTTACGGAGAAATATTGATCGCACCACCTGTTCGGTCGCGCACCTGCCACCACGCGCACTTTCATACCACCACTCGCCCGAACAACACCACTGACCACTACGTCACGCCGGCCGCGCCGATCGATACCGCTGAATCACCATGCATATCACATCAGGGCTTTCGCCGGCCTCTGGAGAGATGCTGGACCTCTACAGCGATCATGCGGTTCCAGAATCATCGCATACAGTGGAAATCGAATATGTGTACGAGCAGCCAGATATGTACGCGTCAGATCTGCCGAGGAAGAGACCGAAGCGGATCAAAGAAGAGCCGGAGACAGATTTAACGAATTTGAACTGGTTGCAGAATATAACGAATATAATGTCCATTCCACAATGTCCGATATCACCGGTGACCGCTCCGAAATCGCAGAGCACGCGGCTGGAGAAGTTCAATCAGACGATAACGAAATGCCAAGACGATTTTATGGCGAATAGAGATGATTACAAGAATAACAGTGAGAAGAAACCGCCGTACTCCTACAGCACATTGATATGTATGGCGATGCGATATAACAATGATAAAATGACTTTGTCGGCGATTTATTCATGGATTCGTGATAACTTCAAGTATTATAGGAACGCCGATCCTACTTGGCAGGTTAGTAATTGGGATTTAATTTGTTTGTCGTAAAAACGTTATTTGAATTTCGGAGTTTGATTTCCATACATGACAGAACTTGACTCATTTTAGTGACTATTTAAATAAATGACTAAGCCCTAATAGATAGTCAAATCTGTGACGTCATATTTTCTTTATTTTAAAGATGTTTTAGGACTTATAAATTAATGAAAACTAATGCTCAGTTTACTCCGTTAGTTACTCCTAATTCTTTTTGTTAGATTTTAGGATTGTATCAATTCATAGGTCAAAAACTTCCCAAAATATTTAACGTAATAAACAAATTATGACTTTATTACAATAATTTTAGTGTAATTTTGTATTTTTTAATAAATGACTTAATAAAATTTTACAAGCGAATGCTATATCATTCGCTTGTAAAATTTTATGATTCATTCAATCGGCTTCCCTCCTACGAATTGATTACATACGTTCTATTGCTCCTTTGTCTAGGAATAGGTAGTAAAGACATATATAACCCTATTAACTAAGATTATTGGTAAATTTGTCGAATCACGGCTCCTTAAAACAGCTCCATTTTTTTTCTTTCGTTCTTTACGACTTGTATGTAGTACTCCAAGTAATATTAAGGATGCGCATGGATTTGGATCCTTTAAAAATTAAAAAGACTGATAATATTACATGTATGATGTAAATGATATTGTCTCAGTTCCCAGTGGGTCCCAGTGAATTACATTAGGTTAGGTTAGGTCTTTTAATTCTTTTTTTTTATTCTAAGTGGCGTTTGTGATCAGGTTAGGTTAGGTTGAAGGCAAAAATTAGTACCTTCTTTCATTCATTTAATTAATTTCTATGAGCTTAAAGTGCTCGTGCCTCTACATTATTGCATGGGACACCATTGCCGAGTGATGAACATATGTCAAAAAAATTTGAACCTGTTTACTTTATAATCTCCTACGATTGATTAAATGCTATTTTTATTTTATTTTTGCTCTCAAACAGCACATGTTCAAACGGGGATAATCATATTGTTATGAAAATATGTTATAGACACATGTACACGTATGAAAATTACATAAGAATTTAAGAAAGTAAAAAAATAAAACAGTCAATTTTTAATATTATTAAAACGACTTTTTTCTTTTGTCTTTTTCCTATAACTTCGATTTTGTTCCCTTTGGAGTGGAGATTCTTGTGGGGTTCAAGTGCACAGGCGCTAATTAAATATTTAACTTGGCGCCTGGTAGATCGGTGACCCCAGCTGGTGCTTTCCTCGCTCAACGAATAAGTATCGCAATACAGAGAGGAAATGCTGCCAGCTTTAAAGGTACAGAGCCACTGCCAACTTTTTAAATTTGTTTTAATTTGTTTTTATTAATTTTAAATTATGTTACAACTATGTAAGATAAAATTGTAAATACTGTATATTTGATTGTTATGATTATAAATAAAAATGCTTTAATATTATAAAAATTGTAAAGCTGTACAATATATCACATGCCCTGAATCTATGTTTAATAGACGTTTAACGTGATAAGATAAAGCGTAATTGAATTCGGTTAACCCTAAGCTACTGATAATACAATATAAACACTATGTACATATATATATAATTATTCGTGGAACTTTCGAGATAGAAACAAAACTTTGCAAACGAACCTTATATCTCTGCTTTAGTAGGGATGTTAAAAATGATTCATATTAAGAAAACCAAGAGTTAATACCGATTAATTGTTAATTACGCTGACTCTACATAAAAATATTGTTTTAGTAAAATTAAGTATTCGTGGAACTTTCGAGAAAGAAACAAAACTTTACAAACGAGCTTTATATCTTTGCTTGAGTAGGTGTGTTAAAAATGATTCATATTTAAAAACCAAGGGTTATTACTGTTAACTTCTTAACTTAGGTGACTCTAGATAATATATAAAATTACTGTTTTAATAAAATTTAGTACAACTTATTCGTGGAACTTTCGAGAAAGAAACAAAACTTTGCAAAAGAGGTTTATATCTCTGCTTGAGTAGGGATGTTAAAAATGATTCATATTTAGCATCAAACGGTTAATACTGTAAAGGCCTTTCAATGGAAGAAGTGAGAGAGAGAGAGAGTTTATCTAAGAAAAAAGTGTTCAATTTATGCATTTTTTGTCACATACGGCTGCCAGACTTGGGCATTATCTCAGAAACATCTTTTAAAGTTGAGAACATTCCAAAGAGGAATGGAAAGCATGTGGTTTAACACTGATACATTGCAAAAGAGCAGAAGAGATATAATTAACGACCGAAGTAGAGGACATTATAAAGAAAATAATGGGCACATGACGAGAGATAGCAGGTTGAAATGTACAAAAATTATTACATAATGGCTATCACAAGATAGGCAGACAATATTAAGTGAATAGGAGGCATAACTTCGACAAGAAGAGCTAACATTAGAAAATATTGGAAGCAGCTGGAAGAGGCCTATGTGTCACAGGACACGCTGATATCCAAAACCGGCGCATCTGATGTATTAGATAGGTTATATAACTAAAACAAATAATATACCGGGTGTCAGCAATAAAGGCGTAATAATACTGTTTAACTCTCAGCTAGAATATAAGTCAAAGCACAATATAATATCTGAGTAAGTTCACTTACTCTAGGTATTATAATGTAATTGATTATTTATTTAATTAATTTTCATAAGTATCTGATTTTCCTCATTGTAACGGTATGATGTTTGAGAGCAAAATAAAAATAGTATTTAATCATTCGTAGGAGGCTTTTGTAAAAACGAGATATAAAGTAAACAGGTCCAAATTTTTTCGACATATGTTCATCACTCGGCAATCGGCAAGAAATTAATTAAATCATATCGTGACATCATATTTTCTGGTATTTTTTAAGCATTACGACTTATAAATTATTAATTCATGTTCAGTTAACCCCGGTAGTAACTCATAAGTTAACTCTTATCATAATTTTTGTTACATTTAAGAATTGGGTGCATTCATGGGTCAATAATTCTCCCAAAACATTTCGACTTAACATAATATTAAACAAGTTATGAATTTATTAAACTATTCCGACATTTTGCTTTCTTTACAACCATTTAAGATGTGATTTTGAGTTTTCTTTTAAATATTCAAAAATATAAACTAATAACCGTAATATATTAACATTTCCTAGATTAATAAAAAAAACACTTTCGAATCAGAGTAATTGTCATACATTAAGTCCAGCAGGTGCAACGTCAGGGTTCGCTAGTTTATATTATGAAAAGGGTGAAATGGTCAGTAATGTGCGATATGGAACAGCTGTTTACATATGTTGACGGTTAAAAAAGAGCTGAACGGAACAGTAATTTTTCAGTCTTAGAAACTTGGCTAAGTACTATTTTATAACTTCAACGTTTGATGGCGAATGATGAAGTATTTATAAGTAATTAGTAAGCAGTATTGGCCTAGTGGCTTCAGCGTGCGACTCTCATCCCTGAGGACGTAGGTTCGATCCCCGGCTGTGCAACAATGGACTTTATTTAACATTCGCTCGAACGGTGAAGGAAAACATTGTGAGGAAACCGGCTTGCCTTAGACCCAAATAAGTCGTACGTACGGTTCCTGGGTAATATCATTAAGTTTTTATCTTTAAAAAATTGCAATAGCAGATTTAAGTTTCAGCTCCATATTTTCCCTTACATATAAATATTTAACTTATTTCTACAGAACTACACCATATACTATATATATATGGTGTAATATATAATAATATTTAGTACTTCTTTGGCGTAGGCCTCCCTTAAAACCCATTGCCAACCTCATCCATCCCTGGGCACAACTCTGTGCAATGTGCTGTCTTCCTTTTCCACATATACTAAAGTTATACCTACTAACAATACAAATTGTATACTTTTCAGAACTCTATCCGCCACAATCTATCCCTAAACAAAGTGTTTGTGAAGGAAGCAAGGTCCAAACAAGAGCCTGGAAAGGGTGGATTTTGGAAACTCGACCTCGCACATCTAGAAGGTACCAAGCGTATCTCCAACCGACCTCACAAGAAGAAAAAACTTGAGAAAGACTCAAAAAATGAAGAAAAAGTAGCTGTGGCAAATATACCTCAAATGGAAAGTCAGTTACTTGACATTCACGATATTGACCAAGCGGTGACTTTGCACCTGCCAGACTTGAGTTTGCCAATTTCCATGGATCTGGAGACGAATATTGGAGCAAATGTCATAGTGGAACCGGCGATACCACCTCCTTTGATCCCTGATGATGACCTGTCATCGTTACTCCTGAACCCTACCGATTGGGGCGACTTGCAACTGGATATGTTTGATAATTATTTGGATCCATGTTTCAAGTAAGGTAATTTATTTAATAAGCAAAGTGTTGAAAGAAGTCTAAACAGTCCAAACAAATACCAACCAGTAATTCTATAAAGATTCCGACTTCCAATCAATTTGATTAATTATAATGTCATCTAACAAAACTTTAAGTAAAAGTTCATTTAGAATTTCATGTTGCAAACATAGAATTATTTATTAATTTGATATTATATTATGAAACGGAATCATTATTGAAATTACAACATTGCTTAAATCATAATTTGTGATTGGTGGATGGTGGATGGTATTTTACTCTGTCAACAGTTAACGATAAAAAGAATTCTCCTTTAATTTGTCCAATTGAAGCAATTGAATATATTTGCAATTAAAACTAATACACGTCTATCTTCGTATATCGTAAGTAATATCATTAGGAAAACAGTTCTATTAATTTGGAAGCTGGCGTCACTTGTGTGATCCATAAATATATATTTTGTGTGACTTGTGTGGTCTACTAAAGTCCTAGTCTATTTAGTAAAGCGTAGCGTATAGAATATGCGCAAATCTAGTCATAGATTAAACAGTTTATTATTAAAAACGAAATTGGTCTGCACTTTGTTGACTTAAGTACTCTTTCACTTCTCTCTGTCAAATTGTGTTTACGCTATGCTGTAAAGAGATAGATGAGTAGGTACTTTAATTAATACGGTGCAATTAGACTAACATATTTTATATGAATAAGGGAGTTAAACGTTAGCAATAAGATTTGCAATATAGCTCTTAAAGCGCTTTTGTTTAGTGTTTGCTCAAATTACGCTCAGAAATGAAAAAGAATCAGTATTTCACAAAAATATTTACAAGTTAAACGGCAATGTCGTATGTTGAAAATAGTGAATTTTATATGGCTCAAAGAATGTTTAATTTTTATTAAATGAATAGTTTAACGTAGATTTAATGTAAATGAACAGCGTGTCTTTACCGTCCAGTATTAATCTTTATCCAAGGGTTGTATAATTATATAACGAGATTTGTGGAGTGGGCTTTAGCTTACTGCTATTTAGGTTTGTAAAGGCGTTTTATAATTACATACTTAACAAGATGCAAAGCAAGGTAGAGTAACTATACCATGAGTTTAATAAACGCGTTCTACAATAGCAGACGTATGTCTGATCTATGGACCTATATCCATGACTTCTGCCATTGTCATTGCCAATTGTCAATTTTTATTTGATTTCGCGCGCAAATGTAAAAAGCGTTGAAACTTGAAAGATTTTATATAATTATATTTTATTAATATAAGTCGTCTTATTTAGCTTATTTTTGTTAGCGTTCCACACGTTGTCAAACTCATGGTAGAGCAACAAACCAGCTCAATTTAGTATAGAATACTAATTTTAACTTTTATGCTATTATCAGACATTCCGTCCAAAAGGAACTTAGTCAATATAATTGATTTTTGCTCAGCACAAAGAGGATGTTGTGAATATTGTATTTTGTATCAATAGATATCTATATATGGCACAATTTTGTAGTTTTAATAGTTTTTTACAGATTTGAATAAGACGGTTTCCTATTACAATTTGGGAAATTTCTTAGAAGAGGCGAAATTTAATATCCTATATAGTAAGCAAAAATTGCCTCTACTAAGCAAAGTAGAATTAATTGTTGATAAAAGCAATAGATAAGAGTAGAATTGAGTTGCCTGTAGAATTTGTATAGTATAGTAGTTTGTAAATATGTATTCTAAATTAATGTATAGCATTGAATGCACAAATTGTATTAGGTACTGTGTTTCTATTATAAAGATCACTTTTATGTACACATTGTGAGTTCGTTTACTAATTTTGTAAAAAGACAACTCAGAAGTCAGAAACAGTTTAACACAAGACTAAGAGTCAAACCCAGGAATTCGGAGATTTTTTTATATAAACAGAAGGTATATTTTCCCGTATTGCTTAACTTAAGTTATAGGTTCTTTTTATGTGATTAACTTTACAGCACGATTAAAACATAGGTACCTAAAGTTTGAATTAGTCTTGAAATCTAAACATATATGTAAACATTAGTTTTTTATTACCTAGTCATTCGTTAGCAGGTCATAGGACCGTTTTTTCTTTGAGTAGTTTAGTAGTTAAGTTAGTTGTACTCAATCGTCGCAATTTAAGCAATAATTACGTAACAATATTCTGTATAGAAACGTACTATAAGCCTATATATATACGTAGCTAAATAAAACTAAATTTTTGTCCTTAAATAATGGACATAACATTTCTTATATGTACCTACCTATGCTGATTGAATAACAGTAAGTGTAGTACAATATTCATAAACTATCGCTTTTATAAAATTGTTTGACTTGCATCACATGCACATGCATGTGTAGAAACCATCTCTCATAAGACGATGGTTCACAGCAATAGCTTTAATTTTTTTGATATAGGCGAAAGATTCGTTTATTGGGTAAAAGTTATATTGGCGCTATTATGGCGGAAAGATCCAATAATAATCCTTCAAAAAACCTATACTTTAACAACGTGACAACGTCTAATAAATCGATGACTCCTGGGCTGTTATGCTCATTGTCCCGTTACGCTCATTGTACGCTTGCGCCGCTATCTCTCTTCCACTCGATTGACCTATGCGTCCGAGGATTCACTCATTTGTATACAGTATAGTGATAATAATTCAATTTTATTCATAAAAGCATGAAATCATTTAATCAATGTTTTGTTATCGCGTTGTCACGTCTATCGTCCGTAACCGACTTTTTTGACTTTGAAAACCATTTTTTTTTTGTATTTGGGCAATTGCATTGCGCATACGCATGCTTGGTGCGGAGAGGGCCACAAAAATCCCAAGGCGCCACCAACAATCGCCTTAGGCGGGATAACGTAGCAGCACAGCCTTATACGCTTCCCGACATAAATATGGAAAGTAATGCTTTTACATCTTTGATTTCGCACCATAATGTTAACAGTAGCGGCACTGATAAATCCTGTACAGAATAAGTAAAATCAAGGCTATGGAGGTTTTCTCAGCAATAGCTGAAAATGTAGAAACTAGTATTGTAAGATTTTATACGTCATGCTATAATTTCGTAAGATTATTAGCGAATAATATCAGTGTTAATAAACTACTTGTGTAGTCTTTTAATTAAAACATATAATAAATGGTAGTATTAGGATTTTATGAAAATAAAACAATATAATATATAAAGAATCTGTTTTATTGCAAACTCTAACAAAAATCTTAAATTTTTAATGTCATTTATTTTCTCTCCCAAATGCTTGTAATCGAACATTCTTTGTAAAGTCCGTAATAAGTTGTAAACATTCTTAAGTGACTAGCTCGTAAGAATACTAATAAGTACAAATTAAGAATTCTATAAAGTAACTAAAATATTTCTTTATTATTACAAAATATATGGCTTTGATATCAGTCTCGTACATTGTGTTTTTATAAATAAGAATGTTATATTATTTATAATCTCAATGATACAAATATATAATATATTGTCATAAAGATGCCTTATCAACTGGACATGTATTGTTAACAATATCTGATAAAGATCTTTGAAAGCAAAGATTTTTATTTAGCCTTCTCTGTTGTTTTACATTATTTTCAAAGAAAATGTTAGCCATCATTGCAACAGCTGCATTAATATTGCTACTAGGTAATGTTGGCAACACTGATGCATCTACTACATACAGATTGTCTAAGCCAATAACTTTAAATGATGTATCTACTACTGTGTTATTTCCATCTGGCAAGCCCATAGAACAAGTTCCTACTGGGTGAAAAGTTGATAAAGTTAAATGTCTAATATAACATTCTAAATATGTATCGGAGAAGAACAGATGACTCTCGCATCCTGGGAAAGGAATGTTATTTAAAATGGCACCAAAAGCTTTCATTTTTTTAGACAATACAAAAGTCTTTATGAGTTTTACAGCATTTATTAAAGTGTCAACATCGTCTCTATTCTGAAAATATTTTGGATCAATCAGTGGAGGCATTTCAGGATTCCTACTTTGTATATAAACTTCTCCTTTACTCTTAGTGTGTAAAATTAAAGCTAAAATTGTAGATGCATGCTTGTCAAATACTCTGGTGAAATAATTATCCCATACATAATCTTTTATCCTAAGAGTTTTTCTTAAATGACTACCCCTGTCTGCACTAATACCAACTGGCAACACCATAAACTGTATGTCAGGTTCAGTACGGTTTTTCGTTGATAAAAAGCCAACAACCTCACAGCCAGTTGTTGTTAAAGGACCCTGCCCTTGGAAAAAGTATTGAAAAATGTGTATTGGATTAAAGCAATTAAATGCATTGACCGAAAGTGACTTATTAAAAAGTACTAAGTCTAAACCAGTTCCTATATGGTCTTGTAGATTTTTTCCAACTGGCAACTCCTTTAAAAGAGGAATATCAAATGACTTTAATAATTCAGCTGGCCCAATACCAGATAATTGCAAAATTTTTGGACTATTTAATGCACCAGCTGATATAATTACACCTTTCTTAGCATATAGCCTAAGTTTATTAGTTAGTTGCACACCATAACATTTCTTATTTCTAAATAATAGTTTTTCTACAACTGTGTTAAGCAGTACATGTTTGTTCTCTACGTTATCAGAATTTGCCCAACGTTTTCCATTAACTTGTGAAACCGTTGGTTTGGAAAAACCTAGTTTAAAATCTTTGCCTATAAGTTCATAGCCAAGTTCCTGAGCAGCAAGTAGAATGTTATTGCTCAATTCAGTAGTATATGTAATAGGATTAAGGTGAATTATGTTTTTTTCTATATATTCAAACTGTTCCTTGATGTAGTATTTAGTATATTTTCCATGAAACCAGTTGACATAATGTGAAATGTTTCCTCTAACATGTATCATGTTATTGAGTTTTGATGAGCCACCAAAAATTTTGCCTTGGGTCATTTTACATTTCTGAAACACAATACAAATAAGGATTATAAAATAATTTTAAAATAATTCAAGTAATTATTAAAGATGTATCATAGACTATTTTTATGACTTACATTTTCCTCCATTGCAAGGCATGCATTAGTTTGTGGAACAGTTTCATATTGCCAATCATAAACTGATCCATGTAACATTGGACCTAGTATTGGGATCTCAAAAAGTGGATTACTTCCTCCTCCAGCCTCAATCACAACATATGTATAATTGGTTTCTTTTGCAATTCTGTGAGCTATCAGAGAACCTGCAGTTCCAGAACCTACTAAATTGAAAGATATATTTTTTATATAATATAACAAAATGCACTACCCATTCAGAAAGTCATTGATTTATTCTTACCTATTACATAATCATAATCTTTAGAATCTATGTGTTGAGTTGTGTATAATTGATTTGTGTGGTATACAAGATAAATAAAGGCGGTAAATACATACACACAAAGACTAATAAGAATGTATTGTAAAATATGAAAAAACAACATTATTATGGTACAGGTCTATTTTTACTACGTGAAAGAAAATAATAAATGTAAAGAAAATTAGTTTTGCATTACTTTCAGGTTATGTTTACATTTTTATAAAAATCAAAACATCACCAGGGCCTTAGTCAAGATCAGTATTGGTGAACGGCAAAAACTAAATTTGTAATGAAAACTCGACACGAACTGTCATTTCCATACAAATTAAGTTTTCGACTTTCTACATACACTACTGTTAAGGCATCTTGACTAAGGCCCCAGTCACCTCTTATTGGTGCCTAGTGCCTACTGCCTGGCGGCTAATAAGTAATAACTGTCAAATGTCAATTGTTAGACAGATCACAGAAGTCAAAAACTCTAAACAGTTTCAAACGCCTTAGCCCTTTTAAAAACAGCGACATCTCTTGAAATTAAAATGAACTACAGAAATTGTAATAGCATATTTATGTACTTAACTTTTTAGAATACGGAAAAGAATATTCACAAATAAAAAACATTCATAAGAGATTTATAAATATTTTATTACATTTTGCAAACTGTCTTATGTTGGTATATTTTTATATATACATAATTTAGTATAAGCTTTCATCATTTGGAAGCAAATATGCAAATGCAGTGAAATTCATAGCAGTTTTGAGAGTCAAAAAAAAGAAGATATCTATTATTTGTATTAAATACACTTTACAAGCATAATAATAATATTTAATATCAAATCTAAATAAGTAATATCTGTGGTTCTAGCCTTAAGCGGTCTATGGTTTCTTGGGGCATACAATATGTGGGATTTACTTGTTTAATACTAGAATTTCCTAGCAAAGAAAGGCCCGCCAACCCAAATAAAGTGTGAAAAGGATCTGTTATATCTCCAGGTCTATCACTGAATCCTCCCGTTTCTGAATCTTGGCAAGCCAAAATATATTGTTCTAGTTTTTCTTGGTCAACCCAGTGAATTCTGTTTAACATAGATAGCGAAGCCATGACCCACCTGCAACATAAGAAACAAATTATAACACCGTCTACATCTTTTAAAAAATCTTTAAGTTTTGTAGTTTTTCATTTCAACACTTACCAAGAGTAACACAAGTCTGGTAATTTTTCTGGCCGACCATTAAGTCCACCACTGGGTAGTTGCCGTTCACAAAGCCACCAAGCTAATTCATCCACCTTTAAGGCATCCATACGCTTGCATATTGACAATGTACCGACACAGCAGTAGATAAGGCCTAAAAAATTACAGATATCTTTGTTATAATTTTTAAAACTTATGTTATTAGTACACTCTTACTATATTATAAAAGATATTGACTATAACAGAATACTTGACATACACAAGACTTTTAGATATATTTGTTGTATTTTATACAAAAAATCACTTGAAAGTAAACTTACCAGCATGACTTTCTGATCCTGGTTTAGATCCAAAACCGCCATCAAAGTTCATACAGCTGAGGACAAAATCAACTGCTCTATTAACATTTATTGCATCAAGTCGATGAAGCAAGGATAGTGTCATCACAGCACAGAATGAAAATCTTGTATCCACTTCTCCCCATTTGTCACCTGCAATGGGCATACATTACAAATTATAGGAAAAAATAATAAATATATTTCTTGATGTTCTATTATCTTATACCTTCCTTAAATTTATATGTAGAAAATATACAGCAAAGCTACCTGCATATAATTAGATATTACCTACCAAAAAAACTACCATCATCTTGTTGCAATGAAGCCACAAATTTGACTACCCCATCTATATTTATGGCATCCAATCTATCATACATCGCTAGGACCTGCAACATAAGGTACAATTTATTATAAGATTATTAAAATTTAGTTTATATTTAGCATGTAAGTTAAAGAGCAATAGAAACAACTGATGTTTGGTTATCTCTACTAACATCCTACATCCTAGTATTTAGTAAATTGAAGTATGTTGGGTCACATCGGCTAGTACAAGAAAATGCAGTCAGCTAATTATAAATAATATAGGCAAATTAATGTATTAATACCTGTACAGCACTTAGTGTATAAAGCATGTGAGGATCATGACCATTACTTGCAGAAATACCACCACTTTCACTGTCCTGACACAATGAAATAAACTCTATTATATCATCTTTAGGCATCCTGGAAAATAAATATTTTTTGTATAAAACTGATAATGAAAATTGGGTTTATGTAATATGAAACAATTTATGACGGTATAAAAAATAATTTTATGTATTCATTCATTCACCTATCAGCAATTATTAATTATGTTAAACTTTATAGCATACACAGTTTAATGAATAGAAATTAATCATTCTACATAGTTTAAAAATCGTCATCCTCTAAAATTTTTAATGGAGAAATTAAAATAATGGAATTGTTAAGTTTACCTAGATGATTGGTCCATTAACTCCATAGCAGTAAGGCTCCAATAGATACCAGACATTCGAAGATATTCAGTCATGCAGTACTCAAAATCATCTTTATTTAACCCGTAACTTGCGAGGTAGTCTGCGTGTTTTTGTAATAATAAAGTTGTCGGCCGAGTCTGGGATAGGACAACATCTTTGGTTTTAAAAGACATAGTTGTAGGAATCTTTAGTTCATATAAATTCTATCAAATTATGTTAACGACATTATTTTCAATAGTAAAAATTAAAAAATAACAAATTTTAATTGTGATGTCGTAGTTCTTTATAGTTAATCTTATTATAGTTATAACAATTAAAAAACAGCTGAATGCAAATGCGGTTACAGGATCACAATGTCAGATGTTAAGTTGACATTGACGGCGTCCTAATAATAAAAAATTGTCGTCAGTTTTTTTTGACAAATGACATACGATTTGTGTACAATTTTACCGCTCTAATTTGATTTTTTTTAATGTTTTATGACTCCTACATCTACTTATACATACTCGACGAGTAATTTCTTAGAAATAAATACAATTATTATTAAAAAAAGTTATTACCTATGTTGAGGTTATATAATACTAAATGTTTTGTACAGAATAAGTTCTTGGGGTTTGGGGGACAACTATATTGATACCAATTCCCTTGTATGCGGATAAGTATCGATTTGGTATTAAATGTTTTGCCTTAAATCACTTGACACTTGTAGGAGATTAAAGTGGCAAAAATTTAATTGAGGAGTAAAGTTTATATCGCTATATTATTTTCACGCACCTACAAACGAGATTAGAATGATTTATGAAATGAAAGCAAGGCTGAAATTCTCATATATTGCACGTATTAAGATTCGATAATCATACTAAAACAATTGTAATTAATTCACGGTGGAAGTGAAACGTTGCCACTGGTATATTACTTTCGGTTTTCAAGTATTTGTGAGTATATTGTCCTCATATTGAAAACATTACGTTGACTAAATATTATATGAAATAAGATAAAACGTATCTTTACAGCATCTCATTACAGCTAACTAGCTCAATAAACCGCGTGTATTATAGTTTTACGATAGATAAGTGTTATCAGTGATACAAGGGGCAATAAACAATCAGTCTGGTCGATAAGGTTAATTTTTGTTAGGATGTACTCACATACAAGCCTTATTAAAATCTGTCAATATTTTATTTGTTCCGAGAAAAACGTTGTTCTAAATAATTTCATTGGTATTTATTTTATATTTACCTCCACAAAGGGAAGGGTCGGCGATGATACGTCTTGAGGATTTGTAGATCTAAAGGTAAGATCTAGCTAGCTAGTTAAGTATGACTCACGACTGTCTGTATTGGATTTTGAAATACGAAAGTTCATAGTTCACGCTGTCTCGTGTTCAAGTATCGACGCTGAATCAGACCCTTTAGACCTGAGCTTGATATACGTTATTCTTGATATACTTGAGATGACTTTCTTAGCTATGAGCTAATTTTGATTGATTGACATACATTATACAAAATGCGGCCTCTGTCCGGGAAAACGCCTCCTCCAACTTTTTCCACCCAATTTTATTTCCGCCGTCGTCATCTTATTTTTTAGCTACCCTTTCCCTATTGTCGGCCCATCGCTCTTTTGGTCTGCCCTTGTTTCTTTTTCCTTTCCAGTCTATTCGGTTTCCGGTTTTGACCATCTGCCAATTGTATAATGGGCTACGTGCCCTGACTATCTCCATTTAATTAGTAGGACATGGGCTCAGCATCAATTATTTTTGCGTTATTTCTTTTCTATACCAATGCTATAAAGTAATTATTACAACTGTAGGAGGAAAGAACGGGTCTCGCAAGCCATGAATATTACTGATGTAGCCGGGGCGTTTTTAGCGAGACGCGTAACACAAATTTATTAAACGAACGAAACAAACTTTTTAGTAAAATATAAGAGATGGAAATAAGTCCCCGGACACAATGGCAGGGGTAGTACCTCCCTCGAGAAATAGAAATACTATAGAGAAAATTAATTTCTTTTTTTTTAACCAATAAGTAACAACAGTATAATAACAACGTATATAGCCAAGAAGTGTTGAACTGAACTGGTATACACGAAGCGTATATTTAAAGTATGCAATAATATTGGTTTTGCAAAAGGAGTATTGAAAAATATATATTTATTTATTTACACTCCTGCTTAAAAGCAGGTTACATGAGTTATTAGGCAACGGGCGGCCTTATTGCTAACAAGCGATTTCTTCCAGGCAACCCTAATATGGAACAATAAAAAAGAACACCTACAGAGGGTAAAGTACAGGATACAGGTAAAGTGCATATATAATTAAATTAATTAAAAAGATATAAATCATAATATGTATAAACAAAAATGTAAAAGCTAATACAAAGGTTAATTGAATCACAATTAATATATATAATTAGTAGGCAGAAGAAAAATGATCAAAAAGAAGATTTTTAAAAAGAAGAGGAGTAATAGAATTCAGTTTTATGAGTAGGAGTTTCAAGAATTAGATTGTCTAAGGAATGCAAATCAAAACTACCGCCAGAGAAGAACATAAAATTTTGCTATGTTAACTAGGAGTTTTAGGATTAAAAAGAACATTATAGAGAAGTTGTAACATGTGAATCTTACGCCGCAATCGAATGGATTTAATTAAAATATTTAGGAAACAAAGGTTAAAATGCCTGCCCAATAACCCACTACAATTCCCATTATCAATTCCAGTCTAAGATAAAATGCCATTATAAATTGAACCTAATGATTCAATGAGTAACCCGTACAATATTACTGTGTAGTTGATCGTGACATTGTACGGTTTCGTTTTGCATATAAACTGTGAGTAATTTATTGGAAAACTTTTTTAAAAGTTTTAATCGTGTTTTACTTTTGTTGTTAGTATCTGTCGTGTGTGTTATCGCGTAACTAAAGCAATTGTTTAAGTTTTTATGCGATAAACTTATAATTAAGTTTGATAATTATATAAGCGGATATTGTGATTGTTAGGTAGTAGCTATATTTTATATTTATTTGAATCTGAAATAACGTAATGAAAAAAGACGACATAAGAAAAGGTAAACAAAATGTAATCCGAGTTTGAGAATAACTAATTTGAGTGTTCCGAGCAATAAAAAAGTAAAATAAATTTAAATAATTCAATAGAAATGGTGTATTTATTACTGAAAAATGTTTGTTTATTTTGGTAATAGCAATTTTAGATGTTTCGTAATTGAGCAGAAATTCCACGTAACAATTTTTTCTTCAAAAGCAAGTAGGTGTTCGGTTAAATAAAGTAATACTATTTTCTGTTATTTAGATAACAATGTACTCGTAGTTATGATATCACATGTACTCGTACTATATAAATAGTAAGTAAAGTAATAAATATTAATGTTCATTTGTTGTTTCACTATCGGACTAGAAGTAGTATAATAAAGACGAAACACTAAATTCTCTGATCGATTTATTATCTTGATAAAGTCTCCAGCCGTGAGACCAACATGCTTGCCTCTGTGTATTCAATAAACTCAAAAAATACCCAACAGATTTTAGACACAAATAGAGAGTGTGATGTATGAGACAGGTTTAAGGCCCTATCCTAGCACGAATTGCTGTGTCAGTGTCTCGGGGTGGACTGCGGTGCGCAGTGGAGAGCTGGAGCACTGAGGCGCGCCGGCCCGTAATAACAATTAGTTATGTAAAACATTAAATTAATGTAATTATAGCATTTTTTTTCTGAAATGGATTACTTGGCTTGCGATAAAATATATTGTGAAATTTCCAAATCATGTTCTGTATACATTTTCGTCATAAAATGAATTCAAAGTGTCAAGAATTGGCTATATTTGGATTTGTTTCTATTGAGCGAAGTTATGTAAATAGTGTATCGATCTTTCAAAATGGATACATAAACTACTCAACTCCACCATATATTTTACATTCGCCCTACTTCAAGAAATTATGACGAAAAATGGAAAGAAATAATGTACTTTTTTGGAGTTTGGCGACTAGATAGGTCCTAATTTTATAAATCATTATGGTTTTATATAAACTTACTAAAATAATAATTGAAGACTTTGCAAAAACCAAACACACGAAATCTACGCGGGCCCGCGCCCCTATCTATAATCGTAACTTTTGGATACGTCTCGTTAGATATTCGGCAAAACTATTTACTTAACGAAATGATTTTGATTAGATTAATCTATCAATAGTATTTTAGACATCAAATCTATCACGATATTAATGAACTGCTTATGCATTTCGAACGTATACGTTTTATTAGTTTCACTGGCTCATTCAGAGTCGTGATGACTTTTTTTTAGTGATGACTTAGCGCTCAGTATGTCTTCGGTATAATAATGATGTAATTGCGAAAATGTGGTCGTAAAATAATACAATTTATCTCTCGTTTAGAATCCTGCGAAAGTTTATAAATTTCCTAGGAAATATATTTCCAATAAAATAGTATTTATAAACTTGCGGATTTTGTTATATTCCGGTAAATATATATTATAGCAACTGCTCTTTAGAATGGAATGTTGTTATTGAACTTCCAATCATAATTTCCAGATGTCCGAGGTAACAGCAAAGGGGGACGAGCTATTATTTGAGCAGGCGAAGAGCAAGTTCAGTGAATTATTTGGGCGTGAAGCTTCTGCGGCGGCCAGTGCGCCCGGACGAGTTAATCTCATTGGAGAACATGTAGATTATTGCGATGGATTCGTCTTACCTGTGGTATGTTTAAATGCTTCTATAATTCGGGGGATTTTTACATTATAAAAAGCAGTGTTGACCTAGCGGCTTCAGTGTGTAACTCTCAACCCTGAGGTCTGTAGCGATCACTTACGTGCCCATAAGATTGACAAATGATCGTGAAACAGATTCAGAAATCTGAGGCCAAGACCTAAAGAGGTTGTAGTACCACTGATTTTTTTAAAATTGTTTATTTAAAAAAATCATTGGCAAGTAGGTGATCAGCCTCCAGTACCTACCTGACACACGCCGTCGACTTTTTGGGTCTAAGACATGTCGGTTACCTCACGATGTTTTCCTTCACCGTTCGAGCAAATGTTAAATGTGCACATAGAAAGAAAGTCCATTGGTGCACAGCCGGGGATCGAACCTACAACATCAGGGATGAGAGTCGCACGCTCATTCACATTAGGCTAACACTGCTCTC